CTCTCTCTTTCTCTCCCCCTAAACTCTCAGCCTTTTACCCTCTCTCTCTCCCTAAACCCCTCTCTCTCTCTCCCTCTAAACCCTCTATCTCTCCCTTAACCCTCTCTCTCTCCCCTAAACCAAAGCTCTTGACTTTAAAATTGATACTAGTTTTTAATCTACACTAGATGAATACCTGTGTATACACACGGTTTTTTCTCAATTTGTATTTTTAATTTAACCAATAAAGTATTTTTTTATAAAAAACCAATAGAGTATTTTGTATATTTGGAAATAGGGATTTAATCATTTTACTAAAAACTTTGATAACAAAGCTTAGTGTTTGATTTTATACAAGAGCGTAACATTTTTACAGAAAATAAAAAATTAACATAGTGATTTTAAAACTGAGAGAAATCATTACATGAATTCATTATGGTTGATAAAACTTCTTTTGTAGTTGTCGACATGTAGTAAGCCTTGAACAATATATCTTTCTCACAAACCCTGAAGAGCAGCTTAGCAATCTCATCTAGAACGCCCATCATATTGTTATTGTTGGATACAGATTCTTTGATTTTACCTGTTTTGTAATAATGCTTAGAGTTGAATAAGAGCTTGTTCCTCATGCAAGTAGAATTAGTCTCTTTTGATGTCATGTTTTTGGTAATTAGCTCATATAAACCTGAATCGTTTCTTGCATAAGTGGATATTTAAAGACAAAAATGTTTGAATATATGTAACTACTAACTACAAAAGGGAAAAAAAAATAACGCACGTTAAACAAATTGTAAATTATGACTCTCACACTACAAGAAAACATGCTGAATTCCTATGAATTTTTTTACGAAAATTTTGGTAGAAATTTTTTTTTATCATTTTCCTACGAATTTATGACAAAAAAAATAAAAGTGGTAGGAAATTGGAAGAAAAGTTTCTACGATAAAAATCGTCAGAAAATGGTCAAAATTTTCCTACCAATATTCAACCAAAAAAATATCCGTAGGAAATCTGATCAGAAAATGGAAGGAAATCGGTGGAAAAAATTTATATATGCTTTTTAAGTATATAATCTGCTGGTATTGTTGAATTAATACGTTTCTAGTATTGTCTAGCATGCATCATACTATTCTTTGTGGACTCAACAAATCAAATGATACATCCATATTACGATGCACTAATCACTAATGGTATGGTAGTTTTTGGTAGGAAATTTGTCAGAAATTTTTGACCACTTTTCTACGAATATAATATGTAAGAAATTACCTATCAATTTCTTACGAAAAACAAATATTTTGTTATTTAAATATCCTATCAATTTCCTACCAAAATCAGTCAAAAAGGAAAATGGGAAAAATCCCACATCGACCAAGCAGAGTAAAGGTGATGCTGAACAGACTCTATAAATAGGCACATGCTTTAAATATAAAAAATACTAAGTCAATAAAAATAATTTGGGATTTAGAAGTTCTATATTTAGTTATAATTAATTTCTAATTAGTTTTTAATTAGGTTGATTAATTTTGGATTTAATTTTTATAATTTGTTTAATAATTGAAATTATTTATTTTGTAATTAATTGAATTAAAACTTTTTTATATAGCTAGTAAGAAAATGGTAGGAATATGATAGAAAACTGTTCGTAGGAAAAGGGTTGGATTTTTTCGAAAGAAAATGGAAGGAAAATAGTAGCAAATGCCCTACGATATTCTAACCAAATTTTCCAATGAAATTTTCCGACCAAAAATTTTGTAGGAAATTTCCTACCATTTTCTGACCATTTATAATTTCCGACGGCATAGAACTTACCAAAATTTTTCGTCGGAAATTGGTAGAAAATACATGTTTCTTACTATTTTCTGATGATATCTTTCGTAGGAATACCTGCTGTTTTCTTGTAGTGTCAATGGCTGTGATAGTCAACGTCCAATGCCCCTTCTTCAAACACAACTTCTTGCAGCCATCACCAAGATGTACTCACTTTCTAAACCATAATTCTAATTTTGAAAAGTAGATACAGTACTTGTAGTAATAACTACTATTTCTCTTCTCCCCTTTCCAACTAATTTGCTTTAACGACTTTGATTCAAAAGATGGAGATTCAGCTGAAACTGATGAATTCATTTTTGTATATACATTCGAAGATTCCATCAGTCATTGTTGTATATACACAATTTTTTCTTTCAAAATACTTTTATATATCTCTATCTTGTCCTACATCCATCATGCCCCATCTCGCACCCTCTATATTTGGTACTAATATGATCAATTTTAATTATCATATTCATTTGAGATAACCGTTTTCTCTATATTTGCTTTTGATTAAAACAGTTCTTAGCAAAGTTTTAAAAAAACATTGTAATGTGGACCATGTGGTTATAACATGCAATATTATCTTTGCATGTCACGTAATAAGGTGTGATATGCACCACCACATTCTTTTTTATAGAATATTACAATGTAAACAATTAATTTAAGCGATTTAAAACTCTTCGGACTCATTTCCTCTCGTTTTGATGAGTGACCCCATCTTTACTTATTCTATTCTCAGTCTTGATTAGATCTTTAACCAAATCTAATTCCATTTTTACCACTAACTTCCTAAATCCACTTCTCTTCTAATATATCCACTTTATTGTCATTACTGCTACCACCATTTACTACCGCTGACTTTTGTGAGTCAGAATTGGTCTCACTTTATCTTCTTATGGTTTCACTTACTCTTTCCTACATATCTATTTTGTTGCAGATGCATTTTTAGTGGGGTTCTCCTTCTCTTTTATCAACTATTAAATAAATAAATAAGAAAGAAAATCATCCATAAAATAAATCTGAACAGCGTATTCTAAATTATTCATCTGAAAGCTGGCAGAATGACCTTTCTTCAAGATCTTTAATTTCATATTTTGAAACCATACAAATGTAAAATTGAGATTTAAATTAAGGACATGGTGCATCAGAAGAAGGCATAAAAGGAACAATCTCAAATAAAAATTTATAAGTTACAGTTGATACAAAGCTAATGAAACCAATGCCATGAGGGCCATAGAAGGGAGTGTTTCTCTCCAAATTTTCTAGATTTTTTTGTCTATATCTCATGATTATGCATGCAAGTGGTATAAGGCATCATAGTTGATTATATATATATAACAAAGTTTTAATTGTTTATATATTTTGATATTTTGATATCATATCTATACTTTTTAATCCAATGAACAATAGTGACATCATCAAAAATGGTGAACAGAGCTTCTTCGCATGTATTCGTACAAAAAGCTATTGTAATTGTAAATGAAATCAATAGGATAGCAAAGATAGATAATTTGAATATAATATGAAACTGAGATTATAAACAGGTGTATATGACAACGATAGGGGATGTATTTATCATGTGAATCAGGAAATTTAGCAAAAAAAAAAAGCAAAGAAAATGGAACAACAAACCAAAAATCCAAGTCGCTTTCATCCAACCTTCCAATCAATGTGTATTTTCATGAATGAAAGTTGGACTTACAAAAGTATTTATAGATGTCGCGAACCATGGTCGACTCGAGAATGAGCCTAAAAGCTAGGAAACGTAGATACAGTTACCCGGTCTTAGATTGTTGTATGTTTGGAAATTGCTGCGTCTGATTGTTTATGCGGTGGGATCCCATCCGGATGAGATAGTCATAGAAACTTTTCTGATTCAACATCGACCAACAAAAAAAGAAGAAGAAGCAATTCTTACACTTCTTAGATGCTGCTATTTTCCTCAGCCTCTATACGGTGGCAAAATTGAAATTGAAAGCTTCATTTAAGGGGCAAAGTTATGTCTTCTTAACTTTGCATCTACAAATTTCCTACGAAATATTGTTTGTAGAAAAATCCTAGGAATTTTATAGGAAAATATGTCTTTTTGTTTGTCCCACATCAAAAAGTTTAAAAATTTAGATAAAGAAACTGCATTATAAAAAGAGCAAAATTAAAAATTTCTACGGATTTCCTATGAAATATCGTTTATAGGAAAAATCGTAGGAATTTCGTAGGAAACTTATGTTTTTTTATTTGTCCCACATCGACAATCTAAGTTAATTTAGGTGAGAAAGTTGCTCTATAAATAAGAGTCTTCACCTTCTCTCCCTGTAATTAATAATTACTTAGTCAAATTTTAGGCTCATAGTAATTAGAGAATTTATTTTGTTTTTGTATATATATATTTCATTAATCAAATTTATAATTAATTTATATTTTAATTTAAATTCAAATTTCCGATATTAATTTAATTTTTGATTTATTATAAAATTATATTGGTAGAAAATTGGTAAAAAATTAATAGTAAAAGATTAGTAAAAAAATCGTAGAAAATAGGTAAGTGATGTTTCGTAGGAAATTGGAAGGAACACTAATCGATAGAAAATTGTAGTAATTTAGTAGGAAAGTTCTACTAAAATTTCCGTAGGAAAACTATTCTATCAACATTTTCGTAGAAATTTCCCTACCATTTTCTTACCTTTTACAATTTCCGACGGCCGATTTCCTATGATAAAATTTCGTAGGAATTTGATAAGAAAATGCCGTTTCTTACGCTTTTTTGACGATATTTTCCGTAAATTTTTGGCATGTTTTCGTGTCGATGATTTAAAAGGAGAAGTGGGTAACTTGCGTCTTCTTTGGATCAGAGATCTTTCATTTTCCTTAAATAACCCTAGTGTAGAAAAGTGATGGAGATGATACGACGACATCATTAGCAATGCTTTGGAACCATAATAACAGTGTTCATGTATTTTAAAAAGTATAAATTTCTGATCAAAGTATGACGAAGATAAATTAATGAAGATTTATATAATAGATATGACACATTCGTGCTACATGTTGGTTTTAGAGTAAGAGCTTACATTAGAATTTAGAAACTCTTGCATAAACTTGTTGGGCACTAATGATAAAGATAATTTTAAAATAATAAATAACATACAACATAAAGTCTTACACAAGCATAAAGAAAAACAACTGATAAAGCTTGTTATATAGCACATCATAAATTAGAGATTTTCTATTAATCCTACTACGTACTCAAGTCTCCATTGCGTCACTCTCATCAACCACCATCTCAATGCCATTACCCATTTTAAACTTGAACTCTCTTACATTCTCCAACCACACACTGTAACTCGAGTTCCTTGCCAAAACATCAACCGAAACTTCCTTCATCTTCACCAATGTATCCGCATAGTTCTCAAATGCAACAATCTTTTTCCACAACGAAGATCTCCTTTGCGCATTGCCGCTACTCTCGCTTCTCATCTCATCCAAACACTCTTTCACTTCCTCAAGCTTAGCCCAAAAGCAAGTATCCTGCGTAGTGCTCGCATATTGAGTTCTCGCACGCGTCTCTTCATAAGGCTCTCCACTTACTTCCCACCACTTATCAAACATTACATACCTTTTGGGTCTATTCCCACTCTGCATGTAATGACCAACAGCCCTTGAATATTTGTACTTGTAGAAGTATGCAATGTCTAGTGGCTCGGCTAAGAGCCGGTAAAACTGTGATGCGTATACCCATTTCCTTCCCACTCCTAAATGAAAATCAAAAGGTAACTCATTCTTCTCCACCATTTCAAGCACACTGTCCCAAAACCTAGCTAGCTTTGCTCGACTCATGTTCACTCTTATCTCTCTTTGATTTGAGTATTGTTTGAAGTTATCGTAGTAACCTAGCTGCTTTGGCGACGCGTCGCAGCTTTCTTTGTACCATTGAATCTCTAGTCTCGATGGTAAGACATTACCAAGCTCAATAGCTAACTCGCTCGACCTCAATATCGGAGCACGACCAATTCTTGTAGACGTTTCTATGCATTCTTTTGCTGATACACCACTTGGGTCGTCATTAGAGAATCCTAGAGATTCTAGGGCTAATGCGACGCCAGCTTGGTAGCTATTGTCGGAGATGTTCCCACCACGAAAGCTCCTAGATACGAGAAACTGGTGAGAGAGTGTGGACACGTAATGTCCGTACCTTTGATGTTCCTCAATGTTTGGAGTTCCTGTCGAGTTGAGTATAAGAAACATCCCACGAACTGAAGCAGCATTGTCCAAGCAGACACCTCCATTGTCGGAACAGAAGAGATAGGTTCCAAAGGGCCAGAACTGTTCACTGCTTCTCCTGGGAACGAGGTCATGGATGGAGACCACGTGGCAGAATTTGTGGGCTAAACGAGATCGAGAGATTGAGGAAGATAGAGTTTGGTTTCCAAGTAAAGGTGAGCCAAAGGTGATGCAGAGGAGGCGGAATGATGGCGGAGACGGTTGGGAGAGAAGCCAAAGTGCGGTGAGAGCGGCCAACGCGCCGCCGGTTGAATGTCCGGTTAACACAATCTGTTTTCTTCCTTCCATTTCCAATCCTCGTGTGATCTGTTCCAAATTCAATCGATGTTACAAACCGAATCAGAAAAACCAATCTGCTATGATAAATGAGCGCAAGAGACTTGGTTTCGTTTTTACATATCTAAATTATCCGTCGTTACATTAATTTTTACCAAAAAAAAGTAAGAATCTGGTTATGAATTTAGTAACTATTTCGAATGTTGTATTAAATAACATTTCTTCGATCTCAAGTTATCCCATTCTCCATTCTTTCCTATTTTTTATTCTTCCATTTCCCGAAATGGAATACCCTAAACTTTAAAAGTTGTTTAAAAAATAAGAAAAGACAAAACCTGAGATTGAATGAGGGGAAGCAAGGGGATGAAAAGTTCAAGTATAGCAGCGTCGACCATAGGCAGAGGCTCATCGGTGGCTAATGATGTCGACAAGGCCGGAAAAAGCCCATCTCCGGCGACTTCCAGGCCCACGAGATCTCCCAGTTGAATTATCTCCATCGCCGGTAAAGCGACATACATGATTCCGGCAATGTGCTGAACCTGGATACTCCCGGCGGAATTTGCGGCGTTGCATAAACTCCAAGAATCGGACCATAACGGAGTCGACATCATGAACGATGCCTGTAACTCGCTTGTCTCGAACCGGCACTCTTCCATGACTGGATATCGACTATTCGTAGTAGTCGAGGTTTTGTGTTGTTAAAATTAGCTTTTTGTAGGGAAGAATTTCAAGAAAAGTTGCAAGAAGTTCTCCATATAGTTTCTTGCGTCTTTCCTATGTACTTTTCTTGGCGCTTGTCTTTTGGTGAGTCTTCGTCTCTTAGTCTTCGTCAATACTCTTCGCCCAAAATTGATACCCTAAGGATTTCTTGTCACTAAAAATGTTTATGGTGACAAAATATGATTGAATCATAGTACATGAGCTCGCCAAACAAATGCATTCAGAGTGAACCATTCAACCACTGGACCACCACGAGTTTGGTTTATCATCAGATTTTGATAATGTCCTGTTATGATTGATTTTTGAAAAAAAAAGTAATGAAACTGCACGGAAGGGTCCATTTCATGTTTTTCTTTAATAATTGTGTGAGTACACTGTGAAGGACAAGATAGAGTAGAAGATGCAGATCAAAGCATTTGAAAATCCCCAATAACATGAATGGTTTAGACTCAAGTAAAGATTACAAACTCTTGCAACTTTTGATATGCAATGAATTTTGGTAAGAGCCTATAGATAAATCAGCTTATGTGACTGAAACATTGAAGTTTTTTTTGTTTGGCATAGGCTTCAAGGTAATTAACTAATTTATAAGTTTTAAGCTTAAGATGTTAAGTCATTCAATGTGACCCATATAATTGTTACAAGTTAGACTCACCATGGCTTAAAGAAGACTTTTAATCTGTGGTCTCTCTCTGCAAATATAGATCCTTGTTATGAATTTGTAATTTACTGTTTGGTTGAATAGGGTTTAAATTTAATTAAATAAAAGGAGTGAAAGGTCCTCCTCATCTTTCTTATCGCTGTTTGGGCTTTTGGGCTATGTGGGACAACTACAGTTGAGTATAAACTGGGGGGAGTAATAAAAGACAAAAGAGAAATGAGTTGAGGCATTGGAAGATATTGAACACTAGACTAGCATCAACAATGATGAAAGGCGATAAAATCTGGACAATGATCTTGTAGAGTTTACCATCTAAAGTAATTCCATCAGGTTAAATATTTTCTTCAACATCCCTTCTCTGGGAAAAAATATTATCATACCTAAGTTTCGCCATTTGTACTTTATTGGTGCTTTTTATCATCATAATTTTCTGTAGATTTTTTCACCAGACGTGAAAGCAATTAAGAAATAACAATGAAAGCTCCTTCACTGTCGTTTTATCAATTGTTTGGGCTCGGTGAAGTACAATACTACTAAATGCAAATCAAAGCGTTTTTAAAGAGACCGTATCTATACATCAATGATGAGTACAAAGGTGTTAGGACAAATAAAGTTTTTTTTTTGGGGGGTACTAAAGATGTTAATCATTTCTAAGTTATGGTCTCCCTCTGCATAGATGTAGATCCTTCCTATTAATCTGCCAAACCCTAAAGTTACCATCTAAAGCAATCTTTTGTAATTGTCAAAGTTTGATATTTTCCTCAAGATGATGAATCAACATGCTTCTTTTGGCGACATATAAAATTATACATTCATACTTAAAAAGGCTTAAACTGTATTAACTCAATTCATGGTTAATTGTCAACTTGCAATTGGATCAATAGATTCAAGTTATCGGTATTTCGAAAATTCAGTAGTTATGATAGTAGAAAACATCAATTATGCAAGATAACAAACTGTTAATTTGGTTCAAGTGGAATCAAATTAAACCCAAGGATTCATCAATACACGAACCGAAATTGGAAACAGATATGGCTTGAAATCAGCAATTCTCTCTAACTTGTTTAAGAACCCTAATTTTACATACCCTCAACGGTAGCGGCGGCGGCGGCGGCGTCGGCGGCGGCGTCTGTGTCAGCGTCGTCAGGGTCTTTGGAAGGATCGGAATTGTCAATAGAGGAGCGGAATTTGTCGAGGAAAGGCTTGAAGGCGATCTCTATCGCTAACCATCCGAACGCCAACGCTGCGACCACGACGGCCGCCTGTTTCGCGCCCGAAGCTTTTCCCATGGCTGCGTTGATTATTAGGTCGTCTTCTTCGCGAATCGATGGACGATTTAAGATTGGGTGATGGGCTTTTGTGTGGGCTTCTAAGATTTTTCAAATGCGATATTAGATTATTTGATGTTTACTTAACAAATGAAAAGGACAAGCGGCGAGAATTCAAACTTCCTTCTTAATGTCTCCGGCGACTAATACTAATTCAAACTTTTCATAGTTCCAATACATCGCATTCACGCCTTTTCCACTTTCCTGAAAATTCTGGTTTGGTTTTCTTTCAACCATACAATGAAGTTAGTCAAATCAACCGGTTCAAACAATCAAACCCACCAAGAAATCGCAACTAACAACAACAAATGAATATTTTTTTTTTCCACCCTAAACATGAGTTTGATTGTGAGATTAATAAGTCTAATATTGTACAAGTTCATGAAATTTGACCGATTCGCCACACATATTATATAGTACTCGACATGGTTTAGTTAACCCAACAAAATGGTTTAGTTGAAAAAACGTATTTTGGTCCGCTCCTAAGAAAACTCGGTCATCATCCAATAAAAAAAACAAGGGTAAACTATTTTGATCAAAGATTTATTTTTCAGATTCCTTTGGATCTTCAGAACGAAGATTTCTCCTGCCCTTTCAAAAGCTCCGTCGCGGACAATTCATAACCGCCGCATTCGCACAGCATAACGCTAAGGCGGTTAAAGAGCTTAAGGAGAAGATGAATTCCGATTAGTCAGTGTCGACAGTGAAGCAAGTGAAAGGAAACCTCGAGGCCCTGGATCGGTCGATGCATGGACCTCTGCTTTGGAATTCGATTATTTATTATGTTTTTGTATTGTTTCGATTGGTTTATGTTCTTGTGTATATATCTCAGAAGCCTATAAGTAACGCAATAATGGATTTTTACCATGAGTTGCATTTTCATCTCATCTTGCTATTTAGAATCCATAAACTAAGTCAAATTTAAGTTGTCACAGCCTCTTAAGTCACACTCTATACAACTTTTGTTATTGATTCATTATTTGACTACTCTTTCCAGTTTCCAGTTTCCACTTATAGTAAAACGATACATTTGTATCGTAAATGCGTTTTTTCTTTTGGATTAAATTTTACATTGCAACAGTTAAAATGTTGTGCAATGATAATTATCTATGTTGATTGGCCTCAGTTCTGTTTTTTGTTTGCGTTTATGTTTGTATGTTATGATGATTAGAATAAATAAGTTTCAGTTTCTGGTTATAATAATAAAATTAATTGCTTTATAATTAATTTTTTTTTTGTTCCATATGTTTTGGTTAAGTTTTTTCCGGTTTCTTTAATTTTATCAACTCTTATAGAAAAGGAAAAATGGTGAAAAAACGACTAGATTGATGAACAAAAACTATTATACACCAAGTTACCAACACCAAAAGAATGAAAGTTTTACTCATTTGTGTGTGTATTTTATTGACAAGCTCATCGACCATATATATACAAAGGTGGAGATTAAGCTTGGTTTCCAAGTCTTTAAATTTAAAGAATTGGAAAACTACCAATTTACACCTAAATAGAGGGGAGGAAGAAGAAGTAAAAGTACCTTCATTACTAGTATTATCTCATATGGGGTCTTTCATATTTAGGAATTAGGAATATATGAGAACTTTGGATGGTTTTATTTATGAGTGAATTAGGTGAATATACCAAATGGGGAACGAAATTAGCTGCATGACCAAGGGCCCACCAAGAATTGTTATCACTGTGTTCATGGTCATCAGTAATGACAATCTTACCCCCATATATTTTACCGAAGCTTAACATGAACAGCAGGTTCTGACAGTATGGTACAATCTATATATAGGGGACTAAAATATAAGTAGAGTAGGCAATATCTTTATGCAAGAAATTACAGCCACACAAATTTTTTTTTCCTAGACGTATCATATACATTATAATAACAAGTTACATATTTTGATATAGATTAACAATGATTATATGCACGATAAAAATAATGTTAGATTGATAACAATAATGAGTTATATAGATGATTAAAGATATTATTGATATACTCAGCATGTTACATATAAATTAACGTCCAACATTATAATTTACTAGATAAAAAATATGTTAAATTGCTAACAAGAATGAGTTATATAAATGATTAAAGATGTTATTGATATACTTAGCACGTAACATATAAATTAATGTCTAACCTTATAGTTAACATGGTAAAAAATATGTTAGATTGATAACAATAATAAATTATCTAGATTGTTATAGATGTTATTTTTGTAGTTAGTACGCTACAAATATATATAACACTCTATATATATTGTTAGCAGTCTAACAATAAAAATATGTGAAATGATGTCTTTTGTAAACGTCGGTTCTGTTGCCAGAAAGATAAACACCAGATGAATTTTTGGTTTGAAAAAGTGTTACAATTGAATAATTTCCCAAATTAATGCCACGTAGGGACAGAGTCTAGATTATAATCAATATTTTATTTTTGGGGAATCTGACAAAATTTCCTCTTTAGTGTAGGTAGTCGCATAGATGAGTAGGGGCTAAAAGGTATTTAAAAAAATTGAACAGTGTCGTCTGCTGCTCTTGGTCATTTTTGTAAATAGTCTTGTCGGGATGGTCATTTGTTATAATTATTCTTTATTTATTCACTATATGAGATTTTCATTTAATTCAATGCAAGAAAATTTCATAACATGAAAGACCCATGTAAGATAGAAAGTAGAAACAATGGAGATGTTATAAGGAAAATATATATTTTCTTTAACAAGATGTGAAGAGGACAGCAGCAAATTTCTTAATGTCTCCAGCGACTAATACTAATTCGCATTCTAAAATCTCCCACTTTACATAATTTCAATACATCACATCCATCGTCTTATCCACTTTCCTGGATATTCTGGTCTGGTTTCCATTCAGCTTCTCAATTAAGCTACTCAAACCAACCGGTTCAAACAATCAAACCCACCAAGAATTCACACAAGAAAGATAAAAATTCCACAGCCTAAAAATGTGTTTGGTTGTGAGAGACTGTACAAGTCCATGAAAATTGACCCATTCGGCACACATAATAACTGGTACTAGACGTGGTTTGGTTAATCCAACATAATGGTTTAGTTGAAAGACGTGTTTCGGTTCACTCCTAAGAAAACTCGGGTTAGGTAAACTTAATTGACGAAGGCAGCGCTCCTTAATTTCAAAACCGCGTTTTATTGGGACTTTTCAATCTTTTTTAGTTCTTTACTCATCCAATAAATGTATAAATTCACTAATAGCAAACACACAATTTTGAACAAAAATAATTTTCCAATTTCCTTTTGAATTTTCAAAACGAAGATTTCTAGTATCTTCCGCTGAGGACAAATTTCACGCCAAAGCAGCCATGAACGATCTTCTCTCCCGCTCGTTCAACCGCTCCGTCGCGGACGATTCATCGCCGCCGCACTCACACAGCATCGAGATGCCAAAGGCAAAGTGTTCCGGCGGAAGCTGCCGCGGTGGAAACAACCTCGACAAGTTTTACCTTGACGTGGAGGAAGTGAACGGCGAGCTAAAAGAGCTCGATCGACTCTGTCACAGTCTCCGATCGAGCCACGAGAAGAGCAAGACGCTTCATAACGCTAAGGCGGTGAAGGAGCTCAAGGCAAATATGGACGCCGATGTGTCGACGGCGCTTAAGACGGCGAAACGCGTGAAAGGAAACCTCGAGGCTCTGGATCGGTCGAATGAAGTGAACCGGAGTTTACCGGAAAGCGGACCGGGTTCATCATCGGACCGGCAAAGGACGTCGGTGGTTAACGGGTTGAGGAAGAAGCTTAAGGACGCGATGGATAGTTTCAATCGAGTGAGAGAGACGATCTCTACTGAGTACAGAGAGACGATTCAGCGAAGGTACTTCACCGTCACCGGCGAAAATCCCGACGAAGATACCGTCGATCGTTTAATCTCCACAGGTGATAATTTCCTCTGATTAAATTTTTATTAATTTCAATATTCAAATCTCAAAAAAAAAAAAAGGAAGAGAAAATAGCGCTTAGGTTGTTAATTTTAGTTACAAGAAATTGTAAATTTTGGAATTTTAGTTTAGTTGATAAACATGATTATTGATGAGATAAATTGAAATTACAAATATTGTAGGAGAGAGCGAAACATTTTTGCAGAAAGCGATACAAGAACAAGGTCGAGGTAGGATTTTGGACACAATAAACGAGATACAAGAGAGACACGACGCAGTGAAAGACATTGAGAAGAGCTTGAACGAGCTGCATCAGGTGTTTCTTGACATGGCCGTATTGGTTGAGCACCAAGGTGAGCAACTCGACGACATTGAAGGCAACGTCAAAAGAGCCAACTCGCTTGTCCGGTCCGGTGCGGACCGGCTCGTTAAGGCGCGGTTCTATCAGAAGAACACGCGCAAGTGGACTTGCTTCGCCATTTTGTTATTGATCATTATTGTGGTCTTAGTTGTGGTGTTTACGGTTAAGCCTTGGGAAAATAATGGTGGTGGTGGAGGAGGTGGTTCGAACAGTCAAGCCACTCCGGTCCAAGCTCAGCAGCCACCGTCGCCTCCGTCTCTGACCCGGCGGCTACTTCGTTAAATCTTTTTTTTATTATCTTTTGTAATGTTTTGATTGGTTGAATTCCTTGTATATATATCAGGCTATCAGCACATATTTATTTGCTATAAGACACTCAGTAATGAAATAAATTCTTTGAAATTTTGATCTGTGTGCAAAAGGAAATCAATCTTGATGTTAGATGAGTTATTTACATTGACACTTTCAAGTTTCATTCTTACGAAAAAAACATTTATAGTTATTGGGTAACTTATTTTTTTGTTAATCCGAAATTGCCCTTTGTGGATGTGATAAAGTGGATGCGAACTAATGGATAGCAGATTAAAACCCAGATTTCAAAAACAGTAATTATCTTCTCATCTATTTTATTTTGTATTTTTCTGTATTATGAAAGACGTAAAATATTTTTTTCTGTTAGAATGAGTTATAATTTTATTTTCTCATTGTTTTAAAATCCATTATACTATAGTTTATTTATCAAACAAAAAATTTTCAAAAACATATGTATAAAACTTTTAAAAAAAATCAGAAGTCTAGGCAGATATCCACTTAGAAAATATGATGTGGATGATGCATAATGGACATATAACATGGACTTGAATGCGTGGATATGTTTTCATTGAGGTATCCACATATAAAATATGATGTGGATGATGCATAATGGATATATAACATAGACATGATTACGTGGATATGTTTTCATTGATATATTCAACATGGATATACATTTTACATTGTTTATAACCTATCTATATGATCCACGTCCACCTTATGGATAATGTAAAATGTATATCTATGTCGAATATATTAATGAAACATATCCACCCAATCATGTTCATGTTGTATATCCATTATACATCATCCACGTCATATTATCGGAGTGGATATCCACCTACACTTTTGATTTTTTTTAAAATTTTATACATATGTTTTTGAAAATTTTTTTGCTTGATAAATAAATTATAATATAATAGATCTTAAAACAATGAGAAAATGAAATTATAACTCATTTTAATAAAAAAAATATTTTATGTCTTTTACAATACAGGAAAATACAAAACAAAACAGATGAGAAAAACTAATAATTATTTTTAAATTTTAGTTTTAATCTACTGTCTACTTCTTCGAATCCACCTTATCGTATCCACAAGGGGTAATTTCGGGTTATTTGAGCGTAAATAGTGAAATAAGTTACCCAATAGCTAAAAGTTACTCTTTTTGTTATTTGAATTATAAAAGTGTAATCTCATGTTAGATTCAGTTAAAATAAGCGAAATTTAATTTGCCACGGTCAAGCAAGCAGGAAAATAGTCAACTATTGACTTTAGTTAATGGGCCGTGGGAAAAGTCCATTAGTAAAAATACACAATAACAAAGAGTTTTTGTTGTGTTTTGCCATAAACCATTCTCTATCAATGGCGTCGTTGAGGATGATAGGCAAGTCAAATTCGGGGGTCATTCAAAATTAGTTTCTTCGATTGATTCTCTTTTCTTCTAATTTACAACGATTATGTGTAACTTATCTGATGTGTTTTTCTTCGTTTTCTTCTGATGTGTTTGTGTAAGATCAGACATTGCCGTCAACTTCACAGGTCAGTCGAGGCATTTCCGCAAACATTTTGTGAACATGTCTTTGTCTGATCAAATTATGTTCTGAGCATATCATGAGAACTGTCGATTTAAAACAGATGGGATGTTCAAGGGAATTTACCATGGAAAGAACTGTCATCTCCCCGACATTGCCACCGTCTTGAACCGAGCTTGGTCTGCCGGAGTCGATAGAATCATAGTTGAGTCACTCTTAACCATATAATTTTTAACGATAACAAGTTGTAGAATCTGGGTAATTCAAATTCCAGTTTTTTTTTTTAACAGGTAACTGGTGGGTCATTGGAAGAATCAAGAGAAGCTCTTGCAATTGCAGAAACTGATGGTTTGTTTTTTCATCCATCTCTTTATTGTGTTTCTGATCTTATTCCCAGAAAGATTCCGTTTTTAGAAGTTATTTTGACTGTGGATTTATTACACTTGTAGGCAGGCTGTTTTGTACGGTTGGGGTTCATCCAACTAGATGCAGTGTCAGTTTCTTCGTCCCTTGACGTCTCTTTTAAAAATAACCAGAGTTTAACAAGTAATCAAGTTCTAATCATATGCTTTGATTGTTCTTTAATGTAATCCTTCTGTTTTTCCATCAGGAATTTGAAGAGAGCAGCGATCCAGAGAAGCATTACCAGGATCTTTTTGCATTAGCCAAAGAAGGAATGCAGAAAGGGAAGGTGCTAGTTTCTTCTCATCTAATAGATACTTTGAGTTGGTTAAGATTTCATATCGCTTTCGTGTTGAGCTCAATCAAAATCGTTCACTCTTCTCATTTATGATTAATTAAGGTGGTAGCAATTGGTGAATGTGGATTGGATTATGATAGGCTTCAGTTCTGCCCGGCTGATATCCAGAAGAAGTAAGTTTGATCATAAAAATTGAACCTTTCGCATGTTTGATTTGTTGCTTTTCTTTACAATACCTTATATGCTATCTTCTGTGAGAAAGGTATTTTGAGAAGCAGTTCGAACTAGCATATGCTACAAAGTTGCCTATGTTCCTACATATGCGAGCAGCTGCTGCGGATTTCTGTGAAATTGTTGAAAGAAACAAGAGCAGGTGAACTTGTACGCTAGTTTTTCTCGAGTTGAGTTTACATAAATTTCCTAGATTGCCTTTTTGAGTTATCTTAATCCATACTGCATAATCCACTCTCAGATTCACCGGAGGAGTTGCCCATTCGTTTACGGGTAGTGCATTGGACCGTGATAAGCTTCTCTCTTTCGATAAAATGTACATTGGTAAAGACTTCCACTAGATTTCTATTATCGATAAGGACTATGCCTTTAGGCTTTGGCTCTCCTTGGCGTATTTGTATTTGGCTCATGTGATTCTATTTGTAGGTGTGAATGGCTGCTCGTTGAAAACAGCTGAGAATCTTGATGTAATGAAGGGGATACCTGTAGAGAGGATGATGATCGAAACCGACTCTCCATATTGTGACATAAAAAACACACACGCTGGAATAAAGTTTGTGAAGTCGACTTGGCCTTCCAAGAAGAAGGAGAAGTATGATCAAGAATCCCTTGTCAAAGGCCGTAACGAGCCTTGTTTGGTTCGGTAAGTGCAGTTTTGCATTTGAACCCTTGTCAAATCCATAGATATATACATTCTTTAGAACACTTCTAAGGCAATCATTTTCTTCTCCAGGCAAGTTCTTGAGGTGGTGGCTGGTTATAAAGGACTTGGCGATCTAAATCAACTTAGCTCAACTTTGTACCACAACACTTGCAGGCATGTTTTCTCTACATTTCGGTTTAATTACAAAATCGTTTTTTGTGAAGCTATTGTCCTGATGGATTTGTTTATATTTTGTGCAGAGTTTTCTTCCCTCAGGACTTGGATACTGCTGCAGATGCTCTGCTTTCCGGCCACCATGAGACAAACTAGCAGAAGCCATGACAAAAAAAAAATGTGCATTTCTCTGGGATCAAGAGATTTTACATTCCACCATTTATGGAAGAAACATTTCTGAATAAGATTACAGACAAACCCCTGTTCTCTCTATCTCACATATAAGCTTCTTCTTTAGCCTCAGTAGAATACAATAAAAGACAGCAAAATTTTCAATTTTTGGTTATCAGTCTGAAATGTTCGAAAGCACCTCGCTGCTCTCTACACTCTCCTCTTCAGTCACTCCTTGTGCTACAGAAGGAACAGACTCGGTGGCTCTCTCCGAAGCCAAATTTAGCCTCAGCGCTCGTCCTTCAACTTCCTAAGAACCAAACCGAAACCGAAAAGCAAATGAGTCTCAAACCTAAATCACCAAACCAATCCTAGAAGAGGGAAAAGCCTTACCACTCCATTCATGGCACTAAGAGCAGACTGAACATCTTGTGCAGACTCAAAAGAGATGAAACCAAACCCCCTAGACCTCCCACTGTTTCTTTCATAGATGACTTTAGCACCAAGCACGCCAGGTTGATCTGCAAATGCATCTTTTAGACCTTGTGAGGTTAGACTCCAACCAAGGTTTCCTGCATAGATCTTGTGAGGGCTGTCTACGTAACTCCGGTTAGTATCACGGATTTTGGTTCTCATTACTTCTCTCTCTCCGCCTCTCGGCACCTCCGGGAAGTTTACTTTCACTGTTCGACCACCAATTTGCTACAAAATCAAACATACAGAACAGAGATCAGAAGCATTCTTGAGCTGAAAATTCATCTTTTTGATCACAAAAGGATGGAACTTTACAGAGCTGTTAAACATCTGAATCGCCTCCTTAGCTTCTTCAATGCTTCCCATTGTTACGAATCCAAATCCTCTGCTTCTGTCAGTGACTTTATCATAAACAATCTGCAACAAAGAATAATTAGCTAGCTTAGTATTGCTTCAAGTTGCGATTTTTTTTAATCTCTCTCCAAATCAACCGATACTAGGTTAGAGAGAGATGAGGATGATGGTAGAAGATGAACCTGAACATCGACGACATTTCCGGCTTCTCCGAAAAGTTCGGAGAGCTCAGAGGAAGTGATTGTGTAAGGCAAATTCCCAACGTAGAGCCTCCCTTCCTCACCACTTGCTTGCGCCGTGGGTTTTTCATCTGCGTCTTCTTCTCCTTCTACCTCTTCGTCTTCTTCGAATTCTTCTTCTTCTTCTTCTTCAGACGCCGGGATTTCGTCTTCGACGGCGCAGAAGAAGCGGTGGCGACGGATATTCGAGTGGAGGAGCAGCGAGTTGGGACAATTGGCAACGAGTTTGAAGGATTTGGGTGCGAAGCGATAGAAGATTCGGCAATCGGAGCGGAAGGAGAATAACGGATTAAACGTAGCGGCGGAGGAAGCGGTGGTGGATGCGGCGGATACCGCCACGGCGCAGGGACAATAAGCTGACGACATTTGTGGGATTTTTGGAGGAGAAAGAGAATGGATAAGATAGATTTTAAGGGAAATAAAATTTAAATCATTTAAATAACATCTACGGTTAGGCTGTTAAAAAAACGATCCATTACCCCAAATATCACAATATTTTCCCTCCACTGATTTTTTTTTTTTTAAAAAACAATTAACAATGTGATGAAACAAAAATTACTAAAATAATTTTTGTAATGAGAAATATTAAATACTGTTTACTGTTTTTTTTTGCTATGAATATTAAGGTTAAGGTGAGGTTTTACAAAAGATGTTAAACCTACTACTATGCTTCTTGACAAAAACGAAATAAAAAACAAATGAATGTTAGGCTCATATATGGATCGAATCAATCTTATTCCGGTTGGAACTTATTTGAGAAGAAAAGAGCTATCCAATCTGGTTTGGTTTGTTCGATTCAAAAAATATTGAATTTACAATTTAGCATTCACAATGCAACGAACCAAAAAAATAATCATTCACATTATTACTTTCTTCTGTTCACTTTTTTTCATCACATGTTTACAGCATTATAAAACTCTCATGTCCGGATTTAATTTGGGCACGTTTGAAATCTCAATGACATATGAGAAATTGTGAACCCAGCAGTGTGCATGCTACCTCCATCAATTTACCTGCAACATTATAAAATCAATTGGATATTAGTTCTTTCTAAATCAGTTTATTCTTTTTATGTTATCAATAATGTCCTAAATTAACAATAACAAGTAACAATCTTTAAAGTGATTGATTCTAAGTTCTAACGAATGTTCAACATTTCAAATAAACATATCTAGTAAGAAAAAAGGCTTAAAACCGAAGACATCTAGATGAAGAAGAAAAGGCAAATTGTCTTTATCAACAAATGTGATTCACAGCTAGGAGCACTTTTTGATTTTCATTTTCACTCTTAACATGGGATTCTTCGTCGCTGGATGATTAAATAGTTAGAAATCCAAGTTATGCCCAATCAAATTGTATATAATATTGTTGAAAATATGTTAAATGTTTGTTAGAGAGACTTTGTCTACATTTTCACACGTCTATACTTTTTCTCCAAGTCTCAATCGTTTACTTAGTACGCTCTCATTGCAAAACTAATTATCTACCTTTCTATAATCTTGGTTCAATTATTTTTTCCATTAAATATATCATCAAGATCACACACACAAAATTCCCTAAGCAATCAAAGTTATTCTATTCTAGCTTACTAACTTTATATTTAAATTTTGTTAGCCCAAAAAACCTTTGTGATAATGTTTTAAAACAAAAAGTGTGTAATAGTGGTTTATAGTATTTGTTTAAGATTATATCATTTTGGGTTAAAATGTCAAGATCAAATAGGTATTAACCAAAGATTTATTAAAAATTGATTACCTCTCCTTGGTTTAGCGGTTTTCTTGACGACCGGACCGACGGAATTCTTCTTCTTGACCGGAGTTTCTTCCTCCGGGAACAAAACACCGTCAATCCCCTGAACTGAAATCCGTCCGTCGGTATAGATATCAGGATCGAACAAATAAGCCGAACCGTCACCGTGACCGAATTTAACCGAACCGTCAGCTTCCTGAGCCTCCACCTTATGAGGAAACCGGAGTGAATCATAACGTATTTTCCCAAACCGACGTACGGAATTATACATACTCTCCTCGGTTTGGTATTCCGGTATGATGTGGTAGTACACGATTTGCTCAGGAGCTCCCGGTTCGCTCAGTTGGTCTGTGGTCAGCTTAGCCATAGCTTCGTCGTTCGGAGCTAAGACGGTCAAAACGTAGCCTTCCGACACGAGACGACCCATCTCGGTGGCTAAAGAAGTGAGATTGACGAGAATGTCTGCCATTTCGTTGTATCCACCGTAATGGAGCAATGTGTGGATAAAGTCTTTAACTTGAGCCTCTCCGTTGAAATGGTGACGAGGCCCGCCCGGTCCTGGCGCCGGAGCCGGAGCTAGTGACGGACCGGGTGACATTGCGTCGTAAACCGGGAGGATAGGTGGAGCTCCGGCAGGGACTGGAGCGGGTTTTTTCTTGAGACGGTGGGTTCTCGGGTCGACCTCCGGAGCTCCTTCCGGTAATACGGCGGAGATTGATCGGAGGTTACGACGGCGGTTGAAATCTTCTTGGACTGAGCGTGGGATTAAGAGACGTTCGATCCCGTGGATGATTCCGTCGGGTCGGGTTAAATCGTCGGGTCGGGTGATTTCAGCAGAGTTGACTTTTCCGGCGGTGAAATGGAGGTGGTCGTTGGAGAGAGTTCGGTGGCTGACGACGGCGGAGGAGGCGGAGAGTTGAGGAGAAGTGATTCTTTTGGGGAGAATGTGGAACATTAAGAGAGACTGTAGAGATTTGAGATTCTTGGGTTGGAGCAAGAAAGATTTGAACTCAGGGTCGAGGTTTCGTTCTAGAGCTTCGTTACGAGGAGCGAAGATTGTGATGTTGTGTTGACCAACGGCTTCTTCTAAAGTTTGGAGGAGAAGAGCTTTCTCCACGAGCTCTGCTAGCTCTGTGTAGTGAGAGTCGAGGAGAGCGACGAGGACGGAGTTGGAGTTTATTTGACCCGACCCGGTTTTATCGGGTAATGCGGTGGCAATGGAGGCAGTCAAAAGGAGGAAGAGGAAGAAGAAGAGCTTGGGGACGGTTTCCATGGCGGAGGAGGGAAAGAGTGGAGAGAAGAAAGTGTCGGCGAATTGAAGAAAAGGTTTGGTTTGTGAATTAAGGAGAGATTTTAGATGCTGATGTGACTCTGATTGTGATGTTTCTTCTTCCCTTTTTTTTGTTTTTGTTGTGTTTCGTTTTCTTATTATTTATTGGTTTTGGTTGGTTGGGTTTGATGCTTTCTTTATAATTTAATTTTATTTATTTATATGGGATTTTGGGGAAAAGAGTGGGGTCTGGTGACGTCATTTAGAGTTAAAGCCAAGGGTTCAGCTTTTTCAACAACTCATCAGCTCTTTGAGTTTGAGTTTCAGACTCGTGTCGTGTGCGTCGGTTACTCATATGCACAATTCAGGTTGCCTTCTAGTCAAAATCTTTCCGTTTTTGTGTTTTAACAATAAGAAGACAAAAAAAAAGGGTTTTCTTCGATTAAATGTTTTGTCCTAGTAGAATTCTTTTAGACAACAAAAGTAGGAAAGAATTCTACTTGGGCACTGAGATGTTAACCAATTGTTATATCATCAGTCACCATGATGGATGAACTAGTTACTAGTTTGATTTGCATCGTTAAAAATTGAAAGTTGTAAGTCAGTCTCGAGTATTCAGGTCTGAGATGTCTAAATGAGTAGAAACGCTAACATTATTAACGCCTTAAATTACAAAAAGACAAGAAATAATAAAGAAAGTAAAAAGAGAATCACGGGCATATCAAACAAAAAAGTGTCGGTGTGACCCTCGAAAATCGAGGGAATTTTAGCAAGAAAATATAATTACATATTACAATGATACCGTATTGCCAAAAAGAATTAAGTACCCTGGCCTATATAGTTTAATATGATTGTGAATGCTAGCCACCTGAAAACTTTCCTTAGGTTTTAGTATCAAGCAACACCTAGGAAACACATGCATATCCCCTCAACAGCGAATTATTTTTTTCTTACTAAATCATTGATTTATAGGTTCAGATCACCTTTGTTATTTAGTTTACAGATTACCAGTGTCTTCGAAATGACATAAAAACCGACAAAAAAAAAACAACTCAAGTCATCGATTCTTCCTTGTTAGCTAATCGATCTTGAATTTTCTTTCAGACCGCTTGGTGTGAGATACAGAGTCCATAGCTTGATTTCGTACAACTTCTAACAATCCAAAAAACTTTCACACTGATTAAATATGCTGCCCAAGTAGAATTCTTTCCTAGGTCTTTTGCCGTTAAATTAATCGAAGCCAAACCAACGATTCTTGAAAGACTTTTCCTTGAGATATATAATCTAGATTGATGCATTAGTCAAAGCATAGCAACTGTAACAAAAACAAACAGAATCATCATTGATCCCAAATCATTAGACCAATATATGTATCAGTTTGGCCATAAGAAATACAATTAAAAGTTATGTCTTGTAAGGAAATAAAATTAATGAGCAACCAAGTCGTTCTTTTTTACATAATTTGTCTCCTTGGTCGAGATAACGGACTTGTTTTTCAGATACTATAATTCTTTGTTATTGCTGAAGAAAAAACTCGAAAACTATATCCAACCATTTTATAAGGATTAGGGATTAGTGATCAATAATAGAATGTTAAAGTTCTTTAGATTTTGATATGAAAGTTACAAGATATTGCATATAATTTTCAAAGTGTTGATTACATCACGTAAATGTCGCACGTGAAAATTTAAAAGCTTCTTATGGAAATATATATGTCTACCTTAGTGTTTACGCCAAGCCTTAACTAGAAGTACGCATTGCTTCTCATACATCATACATGCCGTGCGGCCGTAGAGCTAAGAAACGGCGACGTCTCGACTGCCGTTAGATTCTTCGTCGCCTTCAAACATACCTTTGTCTTGAAGCTCCTATCAAAGTCAAAAATAAAATAATCTAACAAAATAAAGAATGGGAGGTAAACATGTCTCCAAATAGAAGTTTTCTGACCAAGAATTTACTCATGACCAAACATGTTTCAATTTTTCATAGAATAATTTCATTAAAACATGCCAAGTAGCCCGTGACATGAAAGGTACTTCGAATTCATTACGTTGAATATATATAACAGTAAGCCGGAAAAAAAAAAAGAATACATATAATAGTAATTTAGTGAAAAACCACTTTGTTGTGATGTGCATGTGAATTATTATTAATTTTTTTTTCAATGGTTTGTTAAGTAGTGACAATTTCTATATCTAGAAATCTTTTGTTCAATGGTTTGCTAACGAAAAAAATTGCAAAGACTATATATTACCGAGAAGTCTTGGATTCAAATTGTATACTATATATATGCATTTACAACAAGCTACTGTAAATCACTGATACAAGTTTTGCATTGCCCGTTTATCTTTTATATGCAATGATTTAAAACGTTTATGATCAATGTATCAGCATTGATCATCGTAATCCTAAATTTGTAATTGTATGTTCGTCCATAAATGATGGTATGTAAGAAATAGAGGAAAATGGAAAAGTTTAAAAAAAAAAAAATAGATGGAAAAAGTGTGTGTTTACTTTTTTTTTTGTACCAAAAACAGTCTTTAACTCTTTATTGATCGAGGCTGTTCTTATATATCTTAAAAGGAAAACTAGAAATGATTAGACAATAATTAAAGAAGAAAATGCTTCAGTACTTCGGAAACTTCTCTGTTAGATGCGAACTATATGGCCAATTTTGATTTGGAAGATCTTACAATTTACTGTAGATGCGAGTTCACTTTTATTTGTCTTTTTTCGACTACAATATGATTGCTTCATACTATATTTAATTTTTGGTCAGCATGTTACAGGTATATAAAATTTAAATTGGTTTAAAAGTCGAAATTAAATCTACGTATAAAATTATCAAAACAATAGAATTGATGCGTGTGTATGAATTGAGGCGTGATAAAAATTTACGAATCATGGCATTTAATGGAACAACAGACATTTATATTTCAGACAGCTAATTGGTCTATGATCTGGGCACATGCACGTAATAAAACGCGAAACGATCTGAAAAATATTGCATAAAATTTTCGAAAAATATATGTTTGGTCACTGGAATACTAATTTCCTCTATTTAACGTATGGTTGACATAAATTCAAAATATGTGGTACACCTTGAAGAGATAGATATATCTAACTAATCTAAGTCATTTTGTTAGAATAATACATCTATGTTTAAGATACTTTACCATTCTTCTGAATTTAAAAACGAAAAAAACAAAAATTGCGTCATGTCTGTAGATTTTATTACCATAGTGTCTTTGAACCCTTAGGTAAACCAGATCATTAGACCATGAACATTGCTGAATTTCTTACAAATAAATATTATTATTTTAATCAGTGTAGCATGTAAAAGTGGAGGAGACGTCGCTTATATTAGAACGCATAAGAAACGTTTTTAAAACAGGTGGATGCACATAATTGATTCTTCAATGTGGAGGAAAAAAATTATTTTTTCCTTCTTCACTTTTTCCTTGACAGATGTTTCATCATCATTCTCTCCATCTTAATAAAAATATTAAAAAAATTATTAAGAAACCCAAATGAATTTCAGCAATGTTCATGCTCTTAAGGTATATATATCGTCGATGTTTTAATTGTATTGTTATTTGAACAAAAAAAAGTTCGATGGACAAAAAAACTACGCTGTGCCATTGGCTCATGTTGCATCTGGCAATGACTGATCAAAATGAAAAATTTATACAAAATCATACAAGAGCCCAACCATTAGGTACCGAGGTACGATATATTATATGTTGTTGTCAACTTAAAAAAAAAGGATCTTGACTTAAGGAGCGAGATTGAGAAATTGGAAATAATTGTATACACAAGTTTACATACACTTAAGGACCAATTCCTCAAGTGTCTCTTCAATCCTAAGAAAGTTAGTTGCTCAGGCGACGATATTTCACTTATGGAAGCAAAGGAATAATGTCTTGCATAATCAGCACCACATTCCTCCAGCGATTATATTCAAAGCCCTGGACAGAGATATCCGCAACATCTGCTCTTCTCTTGTCTCAGTGGCTCGGCTGACTTCCCTGATGTTTTTTCCCAATCTGAAACTTTGTTACCTTGTTTTTTATTTTATTTTTGCCAAGGTACCAATCTTGTAGGCTCTACTCATTGTACATCCTAAATTTTCATTTTATGATATTTACCTTTTAGCAAAAAAAAAAGTTTACATAGACTTGTGACCTGTTATATTTGCCGAATATCGTGTAGCAATAGAGTTTGTTCCCATGGACTTTTATTCCATCAATCGGGCAGTAAGTAATAGTGTCGTAGATATACAAATATGCAATATAAATATATATCGCTACTGAAGTGAAATATTACACAAAAACAAAACATTAAAATTCCTAACTCGACTAAAACAAAGATTAAGAAAAAGGTCACATCTAGATTTGTTCGCACTACACCACTAAAAAATTAGAACTGCCCTCTTTTATAACGATAGTCAGATCCATTAAAGATTGTGCAAAGTTATCTAATATGGAAGAGAAAGTTTAGGTTTAACGATGATTTCAAATTCAAGCTACAAGAAGGGACACAATTGGTAAAGAGTTATGTAATTTAATAGTATGGAGCATGCTTCAATTGTATAGGAAAAAATATCTGCTAAAAAGAGACAAGCTTCCTAAAAATACAGAAGAACAAATTGGGCCGTCGTCGATCACCGGCCCACCCTACAAATAGAACAAAAACATAACACATGATTATGATTCGTTGCCAAAACAAACAAAATCAAGTCGTTATACTAAGGCTTATGATGGTGATAATCTCCAATCTTAACGAATAAGAACCTTCTAATTGAGCAGTCCCTTTTTACCCTCTCTATTTTTTTATGTCGTCATCCTCACTTACTATTATAAGAATTATATACATGGTTGAATAAAGTATGCATGTCGTCACGTTATAATCGTCAAAGGATTAATATTATTCAATTATATGACCAATTCCATCAACTCGTAAGCCACATTTTAATTTGGCCTGTGACCCTTCGGGTTGTTTACGGTACCCTTTTCATTAGTTTAAAGACCACGTTTCTAACTAATTGGTGTTTGTATAATTTTTTTACATTTAAACAATTGTTTTTTAAATATATCCCAAATCTTTGACAAATCTTGCTTTTTGATTAATCTTTAAGGTTCTGCTGTCACTTTACTTCCGAAATTGTTAGTTTAGACTTGAATTTTGCATTCATGCTATAAAATGAGATTTTATATATTTTTTAAAAAATTACGGTGTCAACTTGTAATAATTAATGTGCTTTTAACTCATTGCAAAATTAACAAAATCATTTTATTGAATCGTTATTACATCACTCTATTGCACTGCCAATAATTAGCAATCATTTTTGGGAACTTGTAATTAAGAAGTAGCGCAACATATGTGTGTAAGCCCTTGAGGTTTAAACCTAATAATGATTAAGAAGGCCAAAAGACACAAAAAAGTAATTAGCAATCACATTTTGTATATACAAAAACGAAATATTTACAGGTAAAAGTAAGACCCTCCCAAAAAATGAAGGAAAGGTTAAAAAGAGGAAAACTATTGACCATGGGAAGACTTAAAGGTTTTTCGCCCAGATTCAAATGAGAGAAAAAAATCCCGAAATTAATTATGCATTTCAAATCACAAACCAATGAATAATTTACATTATGACTCCTTTTGTACACACACCAAAAAAAAAAAAGAAAAAAACTTCAAAGAGTTGCCGCCATCTTCGATTGCTTATCGAATTTGGCCTTGGAAGAGCGTCTCCGGCGATATTCTTTGTTGTTCCCCGACGGCTCTACCACATCCGCCGCGAATCTCACCTTCTTCTTCATCACCACGTTTTCTCTCGATCCTATCATACAAACACGATTTTCCCCCAATTTTTTTCAAAATTCCATAATCAATTTTGAAAAATAAATAACAAAAAATAAATCGAGAAATGCCGAGATTGCGTACGGATTTCGAATTCGAACTTCTCCATGTAATCGGAGAGGAGACGCTTGTGGAATTGACTCGCAAGGAACACCACGCTTCCCGAGACGGCGAAAACCGCCATGAATCCTAAGGAACTCTCCATATCTCTCTTTAGGTCTTAGGGTTTTAAATTTTCTTCTATTATTATCAATCGGGGATCGATCTGGATTCTCCGTCGATGAATGGATCTCGATCGGAGGATTAATGGTCGAAATTTAAAATAATTAATGAGGGGAAGAAAGGAAGGAGAAGGGATCAGGGGACATGATCGGAGAAGAGAGACGGAGAAGGAGAGAGGAAGAGAGAAATGGAAGAAGCATTGCGCAAAAACCAGAACGACAGAGAGGATTGAGAAGGAGAGAGAGATCGTCTTCTTTTCCTTTTATCTAATTTATTACACTGCCTTTTCTTATTTTTAAGATTTCAGTATTTTTGTTTTTTTCTCTTTTTTGGGGTCAACAAACAACCAATAGTTTTATTCAATTTGATTCAGTCGATGCATCATAAATATAATATATATATATAATATATTTTAAGAGAAATGGGGTATGATTCTATAGTTTCAGTGTGATTTGTTTCTTCATATTCAATTCTTTACTTCTTATTCAAAGCTTATAAATTTTGAACTAAATCAGTTATATTTAATTACTAATATATTTAATAAAGGTTTCTTTCATAAGAAAAATTAATCTGAATGAAATTGTGTCAAAATAACAGAGGAAATATCTTTTTATTATAGTTTTGTTTTCTTTACTTGAAGAGTTTCACCACCTCTTCATCTTGTTTGTTTTCTTATACGAATAGAAGAACAATTTGAACTTCTCTCACTTTTTTTGTTTGTTCTTGTTCTAAATGATGGCACATAATTTGAGTTCAGTGATGGTACATAAGTTTATTTACTAATCTAAATAGCTAGCCTAAAACCGTAAGATATTTTTTTTTCAAAAAATAATAATTATCTAGTAACACAGAGTCAAGATTTTGTCTAAATTTCTTACTTTTGTTCTTTCCTTTAAAATGGGATAAGGCGGGAATCCTCAAATCTAGATATATAATTATGTTTTGTTTTCCAACATCAACTTGCTTGTTTTTTTGTCCTATTAGTCACATTTGTTTGGAAACAAATTTTGTTGTTGTTTTCAAGATGAGAATCCCGTTATATAAAAATTGAGATATAAATAACTGCCAAGTATCATATAGAATGATATCATATTTTCATATTTGTCCAAACGAGTGAAGGATAGGAAGTTTGCTTTCTACATCAACAAAATGAAATTCGGTTTTCATAGGATAACATAATAAATAAAGAGAGATGATGATGAGGAGGGCTATATAAGTCAAGATATATAGAGATATGGTTCATTTCTTAGATGTGGTTCCAACCTCTACTACTACGGGTGTGGTGACAGGTGGTGTTAATCATTTTTTCTATTTCTTTTTCTGGTTTTTAAACTTTTTAGTTTAGGGAAAATATATATGAACCAGAGAAATTAAGAGGTAGGAGAATCCTGTTCATAAAATTATCTACTTTGTCATGAGGTCTATTAATATTCATAAAGACAAAAATAACTACTTGTCTGTTGACCACACTTCCAAATATAAGGAAACAAATTTTATAGTTATTTGTTTTTAGTTAACTTTTTGTAAATAGCCATGCAGATCACCAATGGGTCCATAGCTCAGTGGTAGAGCATTTGACTGCAGATCAAGAGGTCACCGGTTCGAACCCGGTTGGGCCCTCAGAGTTTTTATTTTTTTTCCCTTAAACCTATGCCCAATCTCAAATTATTTTCTTTAAGCTTATGAAAAGACAAATTCAAAAACTTACAAAAAATCCTATATGGGGAAAGGGAAGACAAATCCCGGAGACTGTTTATCACAAGAGTCTCCAAGATTTCAGATAATCCAGGAAGTGTTATCATCATCCTTCACCTCTGATTCCTCCGACCATATCTGCTTCACCTTTTCCCACACCAACTCTTCTCCCTGCATTTTTTTGTTTCAATTCATTTTCATTCAAGAATCAAGATACTAATCTTATCAGACTTCTGAGAAACTGATACCTTTGAAGTGAATTCGAGAGTTGTTGTGCAGCATTTACGCTCATCCCCTGCCAATAGTACCAAACGATTCATAAATCACTGGACTTGCTCATAAAGTCATCAAATGTCAGATTGAAAAAAATGGCCTTTTTTGTTACCGCATTGCTCCCACTTATCAAAGTTCACTATCCATTTCCCAGGAATGGTGTCTATTACCAGAACCTGATCTACCCAAACACAAAACTTCTTCCCTTTTTTGTCTCCATGATACTTCCTCATCTCATCAATGGTGTCTCTCAGAGATTTCTCTGCACCTGATGGATGTAAAAAGACAGCAGCTTGGTGCTGAAAATGTTCCAAGAAAAAGAGACGAACAGAAATTAGTCCACTCAAGTCTTATACACAAATATGGATTCCATTTGCACCTAATTTACTTACACATGACTCTTTGAAGCTGTCTATGTATGACTCATACTTCTTGATCTCACCGCGCCTCAGTCTCTCGTAAAACAAGTAAAATCTCACAGCTTCTTGACCAGGATTCGCAACATCCGTTTTCCGACTCAAGAATTCAGAAGCATCTCTTGGAGAAAGAGTTGGTCCAAGCTTAAAATGATCAATAGCTTGAATAATCCCATCCGCACATCTCTCGCTTGAATGTATAACCTTTGAGTTGTCGAAAGCATTTTCAGAATGCCACTTCAATAGCTCTTCTTGGGAATTGCTCACCTTCACAAAACACATAGACAAAACCAGTAAAGGTTTTGGATTTCGGTAAAAATGGAGGAGAAGATTGTGATGAGTGAGCATTATTACCATGACACCGTGAACATCAGGAATGCTAAATAGTTCAGCATCGTGTTCAGAGTCGCCGCAAGCAAGAGTATTGACAGGGAATATTCCTTGAGCATTCAGCTTCTTGAGAAGATACTCGAGGGCCTCTCCTTTTCCTGCAGCTCGTGGTATAACATCCACATTCTTTCCCCAACTGTGAATTATCTTGACATCTAACTGAAAACATAAAGACAATAACATCATCACAAAACAGTTTGGTTTTCAAGTAACAATAATCTCACAAAAAAGAAAACATAAAGATAAAGTAAACACTTAACGCCACGTTTCTCCAGCAATTGTGAAAGTTCCTTGGTCACTGCCTCACCTTTACCTTCATCAATGTAAAAGCTGACCTTGTGTAGCCTCTGCTCAGTTTTCGGCTGAAGAGTTAACTCAGGGAACTTGCTGGTTTCTTCTAAGACTATCTCTCGGTTCCATTTATCGCTGTTCAAGGATTCAACCCAAGCATGGTCAGGAACCATGGAGTTACCACATGCTATCTCGGTTCCTATTGATGTAATGATGATATCAGGAGTCAACAAGGGTTTCTCTTTTCTCAATTCTTTGTAAAGAATCGGTGATCTTGCAGTTGAGAAGACAAGAAGAGAGTCACGGCGATAAGCGTATTCCCACAATGAATTGAACCTCAGAAGAGAGAGGTTCTCAGAGTCTTGATGATCAACCTGCAAAACGTGAATCAAAACAAGATTCTTTTGTTTTTTGTCTTGCTAAAAGAAAGGAAAGAGAGTTAGAGAAACATATCATACCATGGTATGATCAAGATCCGAGACGATCATGAGTGGAGGAGAAGATTTCAGCCGCTCCATGATTATTACCATAAAGTAATGCCCTGTGAAATGGCACCGAGGCACAATTTATATTGAATATAGTTTTAGAGAATTTGATATTTGAGTTTTGTTCTTAACATTCAAAACAATTGGTAAAGAGAGCTAAACAAGACTCTAAATTTGAGAGAAATCAGAAATGTCTAAACCCAATTCACTAACATATACCAGATAAAATCGATTTTTGTTACCAATTTCAAGAACCAAACAACATAAAATTCCCCGTCAACTTCTTCTACAGAGCTTTATAAAGTTTCAAAGTCCAAGGAAGGGCCGTAACAAAACATCTAGAGGCAACACATTTGCCACATTTCTCCAAGAAATACCACAAAAAATAGAGAGAATGAAAACCAATTCAAAAGGTAAGAAAGAGGAACACAAGTGAACATAGAAGGATGAAAGGAAACCTTGTGTATGTCGCTTCTTCTTCTTTCTTCTGCAAGTCGAGGGAAAAGCAAAAAGGTTTCCTTTTTCTCGAGAAAGAAGAAGAAAGAAAGAATATACATATCAGTCACACTAATCGGCGTGTTGGAGTTACAGCGATTGTCCAAGGACCACGTAGTTAATGCTTACCCCATCCACCCATAAAGCCAAGGATCAACGGTCAAGATCTTTCAAGCATTAAAAAGAGTAAAAATATTTGTTTCTCTTTTGTTCCTTTCTGATAGTTCAGAGCATCTGTCTGATTTGTCTTTTCACCTCCCGAGTCCCGAGTCATATATGCCATTAACTTCTTTTTTTTTTCCTTTTTCTTTTAATAGAACAAAGTTTGAAACTTGGTGCTTTCTTTTAACATATTGAGGTCATCTTAATAGTGGAGTCTAAAGTTGAGTTTACCACTTCAACTAATACTAATTAATATATTTAATTAGTTAATAGAATATACCTATCGGAATCTGTGGATTAATATATTCATAATCACTACAACTATTGAAAGTTCATAACTTGTAGTGATTATGAATAACCTTATGGATTCACCAAAAAAAAAAATGAATAAGCTTATGGAAGTGATTATGAATGAGCTTAAAATTAGAAGGTTTTTCCTTTGCATTTATAGTTAGTAGTAGAAGCATAGACTTGCAGAGAAGTAAAGTTGGAGGAATTTTGTTTTTAAAAGAAAAAGAAATTGCCTTTACCGGAGATCCCTGAGGAGCTGTTGATCGAGATTCTGATGAGATTGCCGGCGAAATCTCTGATGAGATTCAAGTGTGTCTCAAAAATCTGGCTTTCTCATATCTCCTCTCGATTTTTCCCTTTTCCTCAAATCCTCACAGCGTTATTGTTTCTTCGCGTGTTTTATGGATGGCCAGAAACGGAGCAAGCACGCGTTGATCACATCGTCGAAATCGAATCATGATCTTCGCTCGGACACATCTGTTTTTGTGATCGACCAAAGACCTAACCAGGCTTCTACTTCGTGGACGCTGTTCGTGGCTTGGCGTGTTTTAAAAATAGGGAAAGACTGCGAATTTGTAACCTCCACACGCTGCAGTTTGTGGAATTGCCTGTAATGAGACCTGGAGCTAAAGGGGTCGCCTATTTTGGACACGATCTTGTTCATGATTAATACAAAGTGCTCCACTTGTTTTGGAAGGTCGGTAGTGTTTTGTGGAGAACACAGAACAGAAGTTCGAGTATTGGTACTTGGAGCTGGAGCTTAGTGGAGGAAGATCGAATGCCACATTCCACATGAACCCAATCTTGATTCGCATTGAGTCTCCATCAACGGTGTAATGTATTACAGAGCATGTAATGATGCATATAGAAACGTGGGCTTGTTAGTTTCGACTTGAGTTCTAAAAGAGTTCACTTTCATTGAATTTGGATTTCCCAACAGTGCTCACATCTTCCAAAGGTGGTCTCGAAGGACAGGTCTCATGAACTACAAAGGAAAAGTAGCTGCTTTCGACTATTATTGTGATTTGAGTGATGGAACTATGGATGTTTTGGTTATTGAAGATGCTGAGAAGAGTCAATGGTCGGAGAAGAAGACTTTTACTTTGCCAGTTTCTCAGATTAATCTCGTCCATGGAGATCACGTGAGTATGAGTGGCACTAGTCTCAGTGGTTTGGTTCCGAAAGGTAGATCTCACGCGGAATCAACCCTCACGCTTTTTCACATATGATTTGGAGAGGAATGAGATACCAACCTGTTGTGTCAGCTGTTTGGAATGATATTGAGAACATCATGTACAGTTTTGGAAACCTAAATATATTATCAAGTTTTCACATATCGTTGACGAGTTACATTCCAGATCAAGTGGATATATACGTATTATAAACAAGCAAATATTACAAGTTAAGTGCCATTTTTGTATTTAAACTCCTTAAGAAGGAGAGAGGAGCTTCATCCTTCGAAGAGAAATGTAGGCTAAGAGACGGTAGCCAATAATCATGGCTACAAGGGCACTCACTTCCTGAAGCCCACTCTCAATTTCCTCTCCGTTTACGTTTTGCATGATTTCTTCGTATTGTACCTTGACAAGGAGCTTGTATGTGTGGTAGTTGAATGACATGAAACGTATCCAAGCGATGAACACTGGAACTTTCTGCCAAATAAAAAAAATGCATAGGTCTTAATTACAGGCAAACTTATCTAGAACATGTCTGAATGTGGAGAAAGCTAAGGTAAGAAAAATGTAGTTTGTTATCCAAACCTGTTTGTAAATACTAGAAAGTTCTTGGCTTTAAAGTGCTGTATATTTTTACCTTTACGAAGTAGCCACCAGCAAGCATGAAAGTCATTACAGTTACTGATGCCAAAGTTGTGGCCTTCTTCAAGTCCATGAAGCTCGCCCCAATTGCTAATCCAAGTCCCTAAAACAACATTTTCATCATTAGTTGTTAGCATTTTATGTTCGGCACGTCCATTGTTTTTAATGCACATATATACCTGAGCCGCGACGATGCAGAGAAAGACTGTGAGCACGCTTAGGAAAAAAGATTCAGCTCTTAGTCTCAATCCTGCCATGAAATATACAACTACTAGGAAAAGCACAGGTAGTATCAAGTCAAGCGGCAGGTCGCTTGTGGTTCTAGCCATAAAATATGCGCTTAATCGATACATATTGGACTCCCTTTCCTTGCTCAGCATTGCTCTCTCTTGAGGAAACGTGAAGATCGCTGTGAACACCGGAAAGAATCCCCAGAATACGGCAATGAAGAAGAGTAGCCCTACCTGAGATGCAGATGGTGTTCCATTTCAAGGTAAGAGACTATCTAGAGATAATTTTTAGACCATAACTAAACATGTTTTCATACCTGATCTTGTAGGCCTTTAGGATGTTCAATGTCTGATTGCCACCAGAGTAAACCTAAGATGATGGCAGTGGAGAGAACTTGAGTGACTCTTAACCAGCTGAAATAGTCATGCCTCCGTTCTTTGAATCCTCTTAAAGAAAGTATGCAGTACTGTTCCCACCAGCTTAATCCCCATTCTCGCTTGGGACAAGTTATCATCACTTTAACTTCTTCATCAAGAGGAACTGGAGCCAAAAGTTTCTTCTTTTCCATGACTGCAATATGTGTCTTGTAAGCCTCCTCAAGGTACTGTGTTTCCGCATCAACATCACAGTTAATATGATATACCTCTATAAGCTATCTTGAAATGTAAAAGCATCTCATCCTTGTCTCACCTCATATACAACTGTAGGAGTTGGCTTGGAAGATATAATCTTGCTGCAAGAATTTTCATTCTTCATTTTCTCTTTAAGAGTTGAGGGTATGGAGATATCGTTCATGTTTCCATTCGCTAAGTCTAGCAAGAACTCTGCTGGATTCATGGCGAGTAGAGGAGAACATCCTACGGAAGTGAAAAAAGACATTGCTTCTGATGCTTTCCCAAAGTAAAGCAAGCTTCCTCTGCTGAGTACAACCAGCTTGTCAAATCTGTGAAAGAGCCTGCTTGATGGTTGGTGGATTGTTGTAACAATAGTTTTCCCGGCCTGCATGCCAACAAGTAAGAACTCGGATGTGGACAAATCTATATAAAAAAAACAGGTTTTGGAGCTGTAAAGAGTGGATGTCTTACCTTTGCTATACTCTGTAGCATCTGAACAATCTTTAGAGCAGTAGTAGAGTCCAAACTAGAAGTCGGTTCATCAAGGAAAAGAAGTGAAGGATTAGTAATGATCTCATTCCCAATACAAACCCTTTTCCTCTCCCCACCTGAGACACCACGAACAAATGACCCTCCAATCATTGTGTCTTGGCACCTATTGACAAAATTTTCTTAACACTTATTAGCTTTACTATATGAGGAAGTGCCTAACTGTTAGATGATAGAAGTAGATGGTAATGAACCTTTCCAGTCCAAGCTCTTGTATAACACTGAGAGCTCTTTGCTCCTTCTGCTGCTTTGTGAGGTTCTTAGGAAGGCGTAAAAGAGCTGTGTAGGTTAGTGTCTCTTTTACAGTTAAGTGAGTGAACAGAACATCATCTTGTGTCACAAATCCAACCCTGCCATGGTGCTTTCCCGTGTCAATTGTACAAATCATACATGCATCTACACTTTCATCATCTAGAGACTGAACTTGAATCTTCTATTAACCTGGTTTTCAAGTGCTTAGAATATGGTTTATCGTTGTAGCTAACCGAGCCGCCGATATTATGCTGATTAAATCTGCCACCAAGCAGATTGAGCAGTGTGGTTTTGCCACTTCCAGAAGGTCCAATGAGAGCTAGAAGCTCCCCTGGATATGCTGAACCACTAATACCGTTCAAGATGCTCTTTTCTGATGACGATGCCATTCCTTTGGTAGTTACCTTGTATGTGATGTCTATGAACTGCAAGAATTGATTTGGTCAGCAAATTATGCAAGCAAAAGTCCCCATACGCCTTAACATTCAAGAAAATTATTGTATTATATTTCTACAGAAATATGGCTTAAATTTTCTCTGATTTATGCAGAGTAATACCTATATAACCATAACCTTTTGGTCCAGTGTGAAGCTCTGCTTCACATGTTGCCGAAAAACCAGTAAATTGTAGTAGAGCCTCCTAAGCTTGACTTTCGTGCACCAAAGTTAGACCAAACAGAGAAGGCAAAACAGAGGTTTTAATGTCTAGGAAGATTCATGATGCTTTTCTTAATGCAACGAGGATGATAAAAACTACTTTAAAAATGTTAACTGTTTCTTCTTCATTATGGGGGGGGGGGGAATGGGAAATTCTTGAGAATAAAGAAAACATCATATGAGATACAATCAGCCCCACTGAAGTTGGACTAACCAATGGCAGCAAAATCTAAAATAATATTTCTAGTGACTTTTGGGTGTTGATGATTTTAGATACATATCTCCATCAGTGCCTGCGCTCAAATAGAGAGTATCATAAAGATCAATTCTCCCATGTTTCCCATAAAACTTATCTATCCGGGGAAATGGTTTACCTTCAGATATATTGGAAAGGTTGGTTCTGCCTGAAGCTTGACCACACTACTGGTTGCTGCTTCAATAACTTCCGCTGCAACATCAAAGGATAATAATAACTCAAGAGTCTACTGTCTACATCAAGAACTTCATTTTGGTTTGATGGTTTTTCTTACAGATATCGTCGTTGCTGCATGATTTCTCTGAAGCAATGATCTCTTCATGTGGCACAGCAAAGCCCGTGAAAGAGAAGGAAAGACCAAGGGAAGCACTAGAGGCTCGGCTAAGAGCCGCACCACCAGTGAGACGAGCAAGGTCAAGAGCAGGGTGTGCACTCTTGGCCTTCCTTATGTGTGTGTTCCATCTACTGTTGTTGCTTCTGCTGCCGCTCTGGCTCGGAGATGACAATGTCCCATGGCTACTGCCTCCACGATTGCTGAAATCGAGTGAGCTAGACTTAAGAGCTTCTGTGAGTGTCTCAGATTTGGCCTTAACCAAGCCTGATGATGATGATGATGAGGTTCCCGTTTCCATTTTGTTTTCCCCCCTCCACTGTTGTTTCTGTACGTTGCTGAAGCAAAGCTCAATGGTCTCATTAGTTGACCTTGAAGTCACATGAAAAGGGTTATAAGTCAACTTACCTTGTGTTGAGGTTTTGGGAAGCTCTTTGTTGTGTTTTTGGTTGGAGATGAGACACACAAACATCACCTATTTATGGAGTTAGGGAATGGGAGTATCAGTTTACGAATATACCCTCAAATGCACACTCTTTGGGGGATAGACACGTGATAGACATGAGACCATGACCTACGAGATTATCTCTGGCTCATGCATTTTACAGATACTTGTTTTGCTTTAAAGAGGAAAATGGTCTTATCTCTTGTTTGATATAATTAATGGCAAAAGGCCAAAACCTGACTTTCGGTACAGAGAGGAGGGTAGGAGAACAGCACGTGGATCTTGATTCTTTAGACCAATAAAAACATCTGTCTTTCTACAGCTCTTACTTTTAAGCACATTGCTATAAGTCGATGTTGCTTTCGTGTAACAACAAACCGGAAGACTTATCAAACAAAGTTCGCAAAGCAATGTTGGTTTAGATTCGTGCTGAATTGGTCAACTGACTTCATTCACATTTTGACGACAATGTGAGCTATGTGAGAAAATGCAACAGTGACGAGTCAACCTGAGCTATTAGAGAAAATGCAACAGTGAAGAGTCAGAGATTGGTCCATTCCTTGAAGATGAAAAATATAATGAACAAGAGATGTAATCACTCTTATTATTCCTTTTAGAACGAAAAACGAAACAATTTATGAAATTGATAACTAAATCCAAAAGGGTTTTTATCGTCATTGTCTCATTGGGTCTCCAATGAAGATCTCAACACTGCTTAAGTGAATGGTGTACTTATTATTGTTATGATTGGCTCACAAAATCACAGTAAAAGAGAAAGAGAAGGAAAGTTTCTTTTTTCCATGCCGGAGATACACAGAAAACATTGATCAGTATCCCCAGTAGTCGTTACGGATTTCGTCATCAAACTTCTTTTTGAGCTCTGGGTGCTTCTCAAAGTACTCATCTGCAGTCATGGTGCTCAGCTTTTTCTGTTTTTATGCCAAACACGTAGTTACAAAAAAAAAAAATCACCATAATATCAGAACCTTAAAAAGTTAACAAAAGTACACAAGCTAATCCAACTTTGTACAAGATAATTTGTTACTTACGCTTATCTCTTGGACATCAGCAATTTCTTTCTCCAGCCGTTCAGATTCCTTGAGCGATTTCTGTTCTGCTTCTTTCAGTTCCACCAACTACATATATATAGCATGAAACATGACACCAAAGAAACAGCCAAAGTTAACTGAGAAAAGGCCTTGTCAAAAACATCAATCGAGTTTCTACGCTATTGCTCACCAAAGCATCAAACTTTGGCTTGTATTCAGGGGTAACAGTGTCCACGAACTTGGGAATTTCAACGCCTGCGGCAAACCAGAAAGAGAAAACAAAACACATCTTAGTTTCTCAAAAATTCCTTTGGTAACTCTATTCTCTCTATAGTGCCAACAATGAAAAGAGAAATGGGAATTGGGAACTTCAGGTTCAACCACCATCTGGAGCACATCTCTCTCGAGACTTCACTAGATAGCTACGCACAATCTAGCTGAAACGAATTGGTGGGTGTATTTTGTATCATAACATATAGGTCAGCATTTTTGCAGGTGCGAATGATAATTACAAGTTGCACTAAGTTTCAAGACCACAAAGACGATCGTAGTCAGGTTCTGTTCAGCAATAAGATTTTCAGAAAATAAAAGAAAGATAGAGCTTACTGTCATAAGCTTCCTTGTACATGTCCACTATGCCAGACCCAATGCCCTTTCTGTAGAAATCCCAATCAATGGGTTCAGGTTCCTGCATAAAATAAACAAAAAGAAGAATCACTCCACAAACCAAAAGACATAAAACAAGAATTAGAGCATGAATGATTTCTATGAAAATGGCAATTTAGTGAGATAAATTGTATGTCTCACTAAAATGAAGATGATCAGAGCACAAGTAGAACTAGGCTATCAAATAGAAAAATGGTCAGATCTTTCCTTGACTAAAATTCGACATTTCAAATGCAAATGAGCAATAAACAAAGGCCAGGGAACAATGTTCACTATGTCTTAAAGGAAAAATAGATCTTAACAAAATATATTTCTGAATCAACTATGGGAAACAAAACAATATATAATATAAGAACGAGTGTCACCAACAAAAATCTGAAAAAATTGATGAATGACCTGATCCAGAATCCTAGCGTCGAATCGGAAATGATGAAGATCTAAAAATTCTAAACCCAGCAGTGAACAAAATTGGAGATGGCTCAAGAATCAGATCAGGATAAGGAAAGAAATCGGAAGAGAACCTGACTGAACTTGGTCTGTAGCTGCGTGTTAACCTCATCGAAAGCACGACGGAGGTTAGAGAACTCTCTGCGAGCCTCATCGGTGACAAGGACCTTAGCCATCCCGTCCCAATCTATAGTCCTCGAAGCTTTGAAAGCGACATCGGCGATTTTCTTACCAGCTCCGCTCATTTTTTCTCTCTCACTGTTTCTCAATTTCACCCCAAAAACACACTGATGAATGCGAAGAGGAGGAGGAAGAAGATGAAGTAAAAGAGGAAGAAGATGTAAACGTCGTCCGATCCGACCAATGAAGGGAAAGCCCTAGAATCCTAAAAAGGCTTACAGGCCCTTTTATTTCTCTTTATTTATAATTTAGCCCCTTTATATTGTTTATCTAAAAACGGCCCCATAACTTTCAAGACTGGTCCTGAGCGGCTGGTTATATACATTACTTGAGCTCTCTGGGAACAAATTACAAATCTTGATGGTAATTGGTACTTTGATACGTTCTTGACGTGAAAATCATTTTCTTATGGCTGTGATAATCAAAAAAATTATCCTCAAATCCATTATATATCAGAAGGAAATGAGACATTACTTTGCAAATCATCAATCTTGCTTATGTTTGTCTCCTCATCAGTTGAAAGATACATGAAAAATCAGATGTTAAAACAATCAAAAATCTTTGAACAAAAAAAAAAACAATCAAAAATCAAACAAATAAATAAGTTTGTAGCAGTAACCAAAAAAAAAAAAAAACCAAAAACAAATGAAGGGAATTGCTATAAACAAAGACACAGCAGAATCTTTTCTGATATTATGTCTGTTCCAGAACTTGCACCTACTCAACAGTGTCAGATATAAACTATATCCATTCTTCTAAAAACATCTCCTCTTAAGCAAGACCAGTATCTTTATTTGTTCCCATTGCCTTCCAGCTTCGGAGGACCAGAAAACCGCCTTACAGTCTTGGGAGATCCAGTGAAGGACAACCGTTTTTTTGCTGTCTTCTCTGAGCCCATTGGACTAAGGTTCGAGAACCGAGCTCTTGCTTTAGCAGCTTGAGTAGGTGCCATGTAGCCTGGAACTGACTGAGAGCGAATACTGGTTAAGCTATCATCGTCTCTAGTGGATGCATTTGAGCCACAAATGCTATGCCTACGGTTGCAAGGTTGCTCTGATTGGATACTCAACATGCTCTTTGAGTCTTCATCACCACTTGGGACCTGCCTCACTCTTGGGCTTGAACCTCTTTGAGTACTATTTGGTGTCTTTCTTTTTGGTGAAAGGTTTTTGCCGCGTGGAACCATCTCAGACATGGCACGGCTTGCTACGCTCGTCGACACAGAAGAGTTTTTGTCAGCATTGTCTGGTGTTGTGGTTGGCAGGTTTTCGTTTGGTCTTGAAGCCATCCAACGTTCTAGCCAACTCCAACCCCAATGCGGGTTGTTCGGGTCCATGAATGTTTGAGATCCAAATTTAGATGAGTTTTTCCACGTATTCTGCATATTCATAGTTTTCAACATTTTGAGACTCATCTTCTTGATTTCTGGTGTAAAAGACATTAGAGCAAGATAGAAAACAAGATTGATACCTGATGAGTGTATGCGTATGCAAGCGCTTTTTCTCTTCTCATTGTTGCTACTTGCTTGTTCAACATGTTTGCCTCAACTTTCTCCCGCGACAATGTGCTATCATTCCAATTTTCTCCAGTCTATTTCACAAAACGTAATATAATCATAAGTTTGTAACTAACTTTCGCAGGCTACATTTGGAAACCAAGATCGAAAATCAATTTTCACAAGTATATCAAGATCAAGAAAAAAGCTAACTGTGTAAGCTAAAACTGTAAACATCCTGTGAGAATTAACTTACCTTGGCAACATCTTTATTGTGTTTTTGTTGGAGCTGCCGCGCACAAGCTTGCTTATCCTCAGATAATCGGAGCCTCCTCTCACGAATCTGATATTGTAACCTAGCTAGTGTTTGCATGCTTTGCAATGTCGATGTGGCTTGACGTCTCACACATTTCCCTTGGATTAAAGATTTTAGCCTCACAAGGCCTCTCAAGGCACGCAATGCTCTTCTTGCCTGAAATTATGTATCAAAAGAAGTGATGAACTTGTTCCACTAACAGAACCACCTTTATAGTTACTAGACTTGGAAATGTGAAACACACTTGGAAGTTTGAAACACAATGAAAACAAAAACTATGTACCATATATCCTCTGAATGCTGTCTGAATCTTGATGGCAGCGATCTCTTCCTTTGATTTCTCAGGGAAACGTGATATTGCCGTGAGACGAACAACTTCAGCAGCAGCTTGAGAAGCTGCAATGGCTGCCTCTGCAGCAGCAGCAGTTGCAACAGCCACGGAGTAAGCATGTCTGCTCTGTTGCTCCTCAATCTCCTTTCGTTTTGCGTCTTTGACAACACGAGGAGTACTATTAGGCAGTGAATGATTGGTAAGATCCAACTTCTTGGATTTACCAAACCATTTCTTGGCCTTATGGGGCTTCTAATGAAGGATAACAAAACATTTGTCTTTATGAAAATAACTAAAAAATGTGAATAATGTGAAGATAGTTTTAAGGGTTACAAAACCTGTTCTTTCTTTTGTTTTGGTTCTGGAGTTAAGGCCTTCTTCACAGCAGAAAACCAACTCTTACCCATTTTTAGTTTTCCTTTGCAAATGATCTGCAAATGCAAAGCCGGAGAGGTAAATTCATGACCAAAATTATATAAATTGTTAAACTAATCCCCATGATTCAAGACTTCATCTTGTTTATCCCTAATCTCGAAAGAAACTAGAGGATGAGGGGAGAAATCGATAAAACTTAAATTCATGAATACAAAATCAGAGCACTAACTGAAATGTATGGACTTACAGATTTTGATCAATCAATCTTTCTTGAGGAGAGAGAGAGAGCTGCCGAGTTTTTTTTTTACAGGACAAAAAAACTCGGAGAAAAAAAACAAACCCTGAAAGACGTTTCACTGTACTTCAAACGCAGAATCTGAAAGACAAGAAAAATTCAGTTTCAGAAATGAATTAAAGACACAGAAACACGTAAAAGCATATGAAACTGCGTAGTATACACGCGTACCTACACTTAGAGAGTGGCAATATTTTAAAATTTAAAACAATTTCTCAGATCGACCAAACAAAAGACAAATGAGAGTCTTTTCTAGGATTCAGACAAGAAAGATAAATGGGTATGGAAGCCTATGGTACAAAATCTCGTAGAGGAAAAGAAGGAAGAAACAGATCTTGAAGGAGAAGGGGTCCAAGGGAATGAAACAGTGCCCGTGACAAAAGGTTATATTAAATAGACTTTTTCTTCATAGTTGAACTATTCTATTTCATACATTTTTTATATTACCAATTTTATATTAGTTTTGTATTAACATTTCATTACTTATTTTGTTGGTTGCTTTCAAGTGTTCCTTGACTAACAAACTGGTATTTGTTTTGACTACTTTGGAGGATTTTTTTTTTAAGAGTGAGTTTGCTAAATGGCAATAACAAAGATAGAAATTCAGAAAATAGGTAATGATGTGTATTGCATCAAATATGTTCCTTTTTCAGTTTTTCTTTTTATACTATATATATATATATTTTAACGGTTAAACGGTGGATGTTTTTTCCTCCGTAATATTTTATTTTGTTAATATGCACGTTAATTTACTGGCTGATTTGCTAATGGCCATGTAACACAGTTGCTAATGGCCAAGGAATTTTGAAGGTGATAATCAAATCTCAGGCTAATAAATGGTGAGGAGAAGAATCTTGTTTGACACAATCTCAATCGAGATTCGAGAATTCGACAATGGAAGAACAGATTTGATGAGGCAGAATTCAATTGGGTCTCATAATGGAACAATAAAGCTGCTGATCAATTAACAAAATATGATGTAGCTAGGAAAATTAACCTTTAAAGTAAAAATCCTACAATTTTAATATTTATTTTTGATAAATTAGATGTCCACAAAGAAAACAACATGTAATCAAGCATTTGCAAATAGTCCCTTAAAAAAAAACAATATCAATGAAAATAGATTTTATATTCCAGACCAACACAAAAATAATATCTAAAAGAGTTTTCGTTACATTCTTTTTCTTCTTTGGTTTATATAGCTCAGGTTTGAGATATGAAGGCATGCCAATTGAAGAAGAAGTGAGCTGCACGTTTTATTACTCGTCGGTGGTTGGACTATGAGACTACCTTATCCCTAAATGAGCCGTTTACATAAGCATAGACATATATTGGCACATAAGGATGTCTGTGAGATGAATTTGTTTTTAATATAGAATTGACCATATCATAGATGATTTATATTGAAAATTTGAAAATTTGTTTCCAAACAAAGATATTATGGTATGATGAGGACAATATAATTTATATTACTTACATATAATTTTTTGACTCGGTCTTACAATCCAGAGAGGAACATAATTTTGCTTGATAACAGTGGTAATCGTCTCCAAAGATATTCTTTGAGGTGTAGCCTCATAACGAGAAAGGGCAAGCAAGTATCTATGCCCGAAAATGGGATAAGAATAGAAACGGCGCAAATTAATAACATTATTCTAAACCGGGATTAGTCAATTAGTCTAGTGGTGTAGAAAATGCACCTATTACATACTAAAATAAAGAAATTTCTATAAACCAGATAGCTGACCACAAGGGCATTTGGTCTAGTAGTATGATTCTTGCTTAGGGTGCGAAAGTTCCCGAGTTCAATTGTCAGAATGCCCCTGGGTTGGTAATTGCGATGTAACATTTTGAATAAGATTTGTCGTTACAAACACCTTTTGGAAAATGTGATCTACTAGGTTAGGATTGGTCTATTTCGGGTCGGTTCAGTTATATGTGTGTGTGTGTGTTTCATTAGTCGATTGAAAGGTATAAGCAAAAGAAAAAAACTCAACAAAGTGAGCTTAACTTATCATTGATCAGAATTGGTTGATAATTTTGCAAGTATCAAATTATAATTGAGAATATTCAAACCAAACTATACAAAAAATAGGATGCTAGTTATAAAAAGTATACTACTACTATGTATTTCAGTTTGTAACATATATAGTTTTTTATTTTACGACATGTAAACGATATAATTATATTATAAAAATAAAAAGAGAAATTTATAACCGTTTTTTAGAATTTAAATGATGTGAGATGCAAGAAAACGTGTTTTTATTTTGATTACAAAACTTAATCTTTTGATAGAAGAGATTAAATCAACAACAAATAAAAATTGGATACAACATTTGTTACTTGGCCTAATCTATTATATAAAAGTTGGGTTGTGTCTCACAATCTTGACACATCAGCATTTATTTATGTGACACATCAGCTCTAATAAAAAAAAATCTGATATTTTAAATTTTAAATAATAATTAAGATATTTATGAGTTTTGGAACTCATTTCATGTCTTTACTACTGCCAAATTCCTCTTTGATTCATCAGTCAGGATTTCAATTGGATTTTAATGGCAAAGCTTAAAACCGAGTTTTGAAATTTCACTAGGATTATACGAGTTTGTAAGTGAAGGAAGTAATTGTGGTCATGGCTATGACTTCAAGAGGTGGTGATTGCTATTTTCAGATATTGGAGAAGATTTGAGGAAAAAAAAAAGATATTGGAGAAGGAAGGTCGCACGAAAATTCAGTTAGGAGTTTATGAAGGATTAAATGGCTTGATATTATTGGTAGAAAGTGGCTTTGCGTATCTAAATAACCTGAAACATTTTAACGAATTGTGTTCTCTCTAAAATGAGAAAATATAAAAAATGGTAAAGACGAATGTTGATATCACTATGCATGTTTGTTGCCATTATGATGAATTAATGGTATGGTTTAACCTCATTCTTTTTTTATTGCTTGGGTTACAACTTACAAATGTTATGGGGGAGACGTAATAAAGACAACAAAGAGGATGTTATAGAGAAAGCAGAGAAGAGTGAGGGGACAAAAAGTTTTCTCGGAAAAGAATAACAAAAGAGTAATTTTTTAAAACTGTGATGACCATAAATGATCGATAAATTTGTTATGATCGGATGATTTCCCAGACTGCATAATTTGTAATTGTTTTATCATCTTCTATTCCTCATGAGTGTTAGTTGGAGGTTGTTCAGCCGCTCTCATGGGAGACAAGACTTAGGAGTTAGGATCACAATATGATCACATTTTGTATTCATTATCTAAGTATTTTGTTATAACATAATTTAGGCAGTGTGTTATTAAACAATTTCATATTTAGACAGAAATAGAATGTAGTTCCCATAAGGCAATAATTCTTTCTACGCTCGATTTTTGGGGTGCAAAGTTTATGAAAGAACGATTGGTAAGACTAGATCCTTACGTAATTTTAGAAGTTATAGAAAAATATTTGTACTTTCTTAAATGTGATATGGCGATGTGTAGCTTGCATGAATGTAAGTGTTTTTTTTTGTGTGCTAACTGTTAACATATAAAAAAAATCAGAAAGTTGCCTGCAATTTAAGCTGATAATCTAAATTTCATGTGCATAATATAAAACTTCCAATTAAGTGATCATATAACTTAAGCTAGAAAATACTAATTATTTTCTTTTTAGTTTTTAATATATGGTTGATTACAACCAAAACTAACTGGAAATTTAGAGTAAAAACTACAGAAAATTTAAAAAAGTGTTTACATTATAATAAAAATAAATACGAACAAATAATTTCAACGTATATCAATTCATACATTTTATCAAATGACCGCTTCTATATCGAATTAGGTTGTATTTGTTAAGATGTTTTTCATACAAGTAAAATATTCCTAAAGTTTAAATAAAAAATTTATCATATTATACAACACAAATTATAAATTTATAAAGTATACAAGCCCGTGTGTACACACGGGTCTTCACCTAGTCTATTATATAAAGACTCAGTTGAGTCTTACAAGCTTGACACATCAGCGTTCATTTTTTTGACACATCAGATTAAAAAAAATTATGAGAAAATTAAACAATTAAATTATACTAATTTCATTTTTAGTTGAACGCAAAAACCGAAAGAGAAGTACATATCAATTTATGGTTCATAATAAACTGCAAATTAATTTTATTTTGGAAATTGGAAAGATGGAATCTCAAACAATCTCCAATGCTTTCTAATATCGACTCAAAATTTCACAAGTCAATAGGTAATTTTTTATTCTTCGTCTCCTCTTTGATTTATGGGTTTTTAAAAACTGTATTATATTTCTTGTATTGAATTCATTCTGGTTTTGTTTACATAGACATTGATCCATTTTCTTTGTATAAAGGCATATCCACCAATGACAATCCTACCACCGGGATAAAGGCTTGAGACTTGAAGTCTCGGGCAAAAATAAAAATACGATTTCGCGAAGATATTAAATTTGTCTTACAAAATACATATTTTTATCATTAAAAATTAACTAACAAAAAAAAACAGATTGAGAAAAATAATAATGAAGATATATTTGGTTAGGTGCAAAAATAAAAAGTATTACATCTACAAAAATAATGACTACATTTTTACGAGTTCATATGATATTCATATTACCAAATGCAAAAAAATAGATTAAACTTATAAAATAATATCTATTAATAAATTATATTAAAACAAAAAAATCACATTTAATGACTATATTTTTATAAATTTGGATGATATTTTATATTATCAAAATAAAAAATAGGTTAATTTTGTAGAAAAATAGAATTTTATAATGTATATTAAAACAAACAAAACACCTGCGTGTACATGCGGGTATTCATCTAGTATCCCTAAAAATTAGCTGTTCCAAATATCTATGTCGTTTTTCTCATTATAATTTCACTTTCTCTACTAATTGTCGTTTTGCATCCAAAAAAACGACATGTAGTTCAGGTTTCCGAATATAAATGTCGTTTATTTTCGCACGGAGGTTTTAGATTTTGCTTATGTTGGGTTTGGTTTACTGAGAACCTGTAAATGGCTAATTCAGTGCCGGAATTAGGTCAAATTCCCGGCGGAGATTCCCAGATTTTCCCTCTCGACGCCGAGACCATCAAGCAGCGAGTCGACGAGGTTTTACATTGGGTTGATTCGGTAAAAAAAAAAACTTATCCTTAGACCTTTGATACCTTCTTCTTGCTCTATTGTCTTTCTTGATTCTGAATTCGGCTATTTTTCGTGTTGCGTCGTGATGATTCAGCCTTCTTGCTCTATTTTTTTAAGCTTTGAAACGATATTCTACAAATTCTTCTGTGCTTTGGCTGTTTCATCAAAATATGTTTCATAAACTGGTCTCTGGAGTTTTGCTTTGAATGTGGCATAGTCATATTTGTTGATTGAATGGATGATTGATTGGTTATACCTGGCTTCAGCTTGAGGATAAACTGAAACAAGTAGAGGACTTTTACTCGAGCATTGCCGTCGCAAACTCTGGCTCTAGACATGTTGTTGGGGTTAGGAAGGTTCAACAAGAGGCTGCGCGTAGGGAAGCTTTTGCTGCAAAAAGAATGCATGACCTCATGCGTCAATTCGGAACAATCTTCCGTCAGGTAAGAATCATCTCTCTCTTTCTCTCTTTCTTGGCATTTATGTCTTCAGGAAGAACTTTGAAATTTGGTTGTACTGGGTTTTTTTTTCAGATAACTCAGCATAAGAATGCATGGCCATTTATGCATCCTGTTGATGTAGAAGGTCTTGGTTTGGATGACTACTATGAGGTAACGTTTCTGTCTCAGCTCTCAACAACCCTTTGTTGATATCTTCTTTTTGTAGACTAGTATGTTTTGCTCGTTGAATACGTTTAAGATTTTGTGTGTGTTATTCCTCTGTCTACATTTTAAGTTATGGGATTTTCTTTTGTTCTGATTGTAAGGTTATTGACAAGCCTATGGACTTCAGCACGATAAAGAATCAAATGGAGGCTAAGGATGGTACCGGGTACAAACATGTTATGCAAATATATACCGATATGCGGCTAGTGTTTGAGAACGCAATGAAGTATAATGAAGAATCAAGTGAAGTTTACACTATGGCGAACATATTACTGGGAAAGTTTGAGGAGAAATGGGCACACTTTCTTCCAAAGGTTCAAGAAGAGGTAAGGATAATATGTTATTATCTTTCGCACTGTTCTCTTGATGTGAGTTCAGCACCAAGGTTTTTTTTTGTTAGCTTGGCCAAGTTCTAAACAAAATTGATAACAGGAGAAAATACGGGAGGAAGAGGAGAAGCAGGCAGCAATGGAGGCGCTATTAGCAAAAGAAGCATCTCATACCAAAACAACTAGAGAACTGAACAATGAGGTTAGTTTTTTTATCTTTTTTTTTATAAATCATTGACACTTTTGTATTATCAACCTTTTAACTAACAAATTGGTATATTGCTATCCAGATTTGCAATGTTAATTGCGAGCTGGAGAAGCTGAGGCATATAGTTGTGGAAAGATGCAGGTTGGTCTAATCACTCTTAATGAATTCTTAACACATTTTAGGATCCTCTGTTCAATTTTTGAGTTTTTCTCACACCTGTGAGTGTTTTGTATCAGGAAAATTACAACTGAGGAGAAGCGTAAGATTGGGTTGGCATTCTTAAAACTGTCTCCAGATGAACTACAGAAGGTGTTGGGAATAGTTGCTCAGGCTGACCCGAGCTTCCAACATAGAGCAGAGGAAGTGAGCATTGAGATGGACGCACTGGTAAATATCTTAGCAAAGCCACTGTCACCTGTGTGCTTTTCTGGTCGAAAGATCTTGTCTTTTTCTTTTTTCTTAAGCTTAGTTTTCATGTACGCAGGACGAACCAACACTGTGGAGGCTAAAGTTTTTTGTGAAGGATGCGTTGGAGAATACAATGAAGAAGAAGAAGAAGGAAGAGACAACAAAGGCTGAAGATTGGAGAGGGACACAAAACAAAGAGGTTTCCAACAAACGAAATGCGACTAACAAGTTAGCAGAGAGAAGTACGAAGCGGACACGCGTGTGATCCACACGATTGCTTTTGAAGACACAAAAACCTTGAACAGGAAAAAATCTTCTCTTTGTATAAATGTTTTCTAGTCCGTTGTGTATATATCATCCTCAGACACCAAACTAGCTTCTGATTCTACCAACATTGAAAAAAAATGCAATCTTTATAAAGCTTTTGCTTTTGTTATCCTATTGGCACTTCCCTTCGTGATAAGGTATGGATATAATAAAGATAGAGAGAGAGATAGAGATTAATAAATTTAGCAATAATTAGGAAAATATTTAATGATGATAGAAAGATGCAATCTCAGGGGTTAGTGTGTATATAAACGCGCTTTGGATTCCTCTGTTTTTTTCTCAATCGTCTCTCTTCTCTGTCTGTTTCTGCATGAAAATGGAAGAAGAATGCACGGAGAAGAAGAATTGGAATTATCAATATTTGGACACGAGTTTAGCAGAGAGACCGATGTGGCTTATAAAACCCCCTTCTCTCGTCGCTTCTTCTTTCGAATATCTTCCTTTTCCCGACGATTCATACCTTCCTATAGTTACCGTCTCCGTCGATCCTCAAGCTACCGAGGACAAAGAAGCCGAAGTATTTCTCTTTTTTTTTTCCTTTCTTTCTTCTTTGGTCTTTTGCGTTTCGATTTCTGCATCTCTCACTCGCATTTCTCTCCTCTGTGCATGCGTAATCTCGTTACATTCTCTGAAATTCCATATATTTGGAGGGGAGATCTGGTTTTCTGAGATATCGAATGAACTGGGTAGTATTTGTTTGAAACCATTTCTGCAAATTTAGAGATCTTCTCTTTTGTCAAGCTGTTTTGAGCTTCCTTGACTCTCTTCAGAAGAATTTTGGTAGATTTTTACGTAGTTTGGCTTTCTTGCTCATCACTTGAACTGCGAGTGTTTTTTGTTTGTTTGTTTGTTTGGGGTGCATAACATTAAACAAGTGATTCTTTTGCCTCTGCAGTTCGTAATGAAAATAGCTCGAGCTGAATCTGGAAACATTCCAAAACGTTATACCTTGGAGATGTCTAAGGATTTCGTCCCCATGTATTCTTACAGTGAATCTTCAAAAGGTAAGCAGAATTCTCCTGTCCAATCTCTATCATTGTGGCTGTCCATTTCTGCAGTTTCTTTTTGTTGTGCGTGTAACATGCTTGAGTTACAACTGTTGGTTCTTCTATGGCATGAGCCTTTGAGAGGGGTAACATAAGTAGTCAGAGATAGACTTTGTTTTGAATAATTACATTCTCGTATCTTTGCTTGTTGTATCACGTTTTAAATCATTGAGTGAAAGTTTTAGCAAATGGTCTGTTTAATTGTTTACAATTCAGCAGAGAAGCTGTCTGATGATAGATAACTGTGTTGATTCTCTTCAAAAATCTTTGAGTTGTAGGAGAAAAGTCAGTTGTAGGGAAGATTAAAAACAAGATTGACATGAGGCCTCATAACGAGAACATCGAGAGCTATGGAAGACTGTGCCGCGAAAGGGCAAGCAAGTATATGTGCAAAAATAGACAGATCCAGGTTCTCTCCTAAAAAGATTAATGTGGTTTTAATCAAATGTCTGCATTTTGTTTTTTTTCCCATTATCATCATCATGTTTTCTTGAGCAGGTCATTGATAATGACAATGGAATGCATATGAGACCAATGCCGAGCATGATTATCCCCACCGCGGCTACTGTATCTATCTTTACCACTTTGAAAACATACATTTTAACGACAGTAATTAAAATTTTGACAACTGCTTTTGTATCAGGAAAAGAAGAAAGTGACAAACAAGGCATCGGAAATGAAGAGAACAAGAAGGGACCGGAGAGAGATGGAGGAAGTTATGTTTAATCTATTCGAAAGACAATCGAATTGGACTCTGAGGCTGCTCATTCAAGAAACTGACCAACCAGAGGTAAGCAGGAGGAAACTGTATATAAGTTCTTAGATTGAGAGAGATTCAAAAGAGAAAACCAAAAACAAGAAATGAAAAATGTGGTTTTGGCGCAGCAATTCTTGAAAGACTTGCTGAGAGATCTTTGCTTCTACAACAACAAAGGGAGCAACCAAGGAACTTATGAGCTCAAGCCTGAGTACAAGAAAGCCCCACAGGAATAGAAACTCTCTCTCTCTCTCCTTCTCTCTCGATGTCTTATGGTCCAATTGATTTTGGATTATTTAGCTAATAAAATTGATTTTCACGTAATGAAAGGCTAGCTAGTTAGGTACTTCTATTGTAACTGCTGTTCATTATTATAATAAGAAACATAGGTTCGTTCAATGGTTTTCCTTTAATCTTCACAGATTCAATCAATCTCTTTAGTCATGTTTTTAAAAATATAATCAGATTTTGACTTTCGATTCCCAATCCATAGAAAAAGTTGTAGCTTTACTTCTCCTTTAATTTCATCAACAAATTATAAAGAAACTAAGTATTGGAATCAAGTAGTACTATAAAAAATAAACTAAAAAGACAATCATATTTTATTTTGACTTGAGTCAGAAGGATGTTTGGTATGGCTTAAAGTCCGTTTAAATTAGACGATTTGGATAACCGAGTTTGGTATGGGCTTGATTCGGATAGGTTTTACGTTTGGCTCGGATGTGATTGTAACTGGTCTATTTCGGTTTGGTTCATTTTTGTTTTGTTTTTATTTATCAATTTCGAAAAAGGTAAAAAGTGTGGAAAACAAAATTTCGCAAGCCACACGGTGGTTCCGGTCACGACTCACGATGTCGGGGAAGCCGCCGTCGCTGAAACGAATCGGCTTGCCATGGCCAGAGCTCAACGATGGTTTGGCATACAAGGATGTCGTCTCATCTTTTTCTTCTTCTTCAGGTCTTCCTCTTCTCTCCCTCCTCCACTATTGCTTCAGAATTCATAAAGTTTTGATTTTTGGTTTTTGTTCTTGATTTTGTGGACTTACTATGCAGAGTTAACGACGGTGTCAGATTTCTACTCAACGAAATATAAGAGCTCAGCTCCACTGCTAGGGTTCTCTACTCTTATTCCTCTACTACTTTTCTGCAATATCGTTTCTTACGTTTCCTTCTTTTAACTTGATTTCTTTCCCAGGTGGATTCAACGTATCCAAAACGGACAGGTTACTCTTTGTACCACATTTTCCACAGAATTTATCGCTTTATTCTTGAGCTTTTGTAATTTCATTTCTTGTGTACAACGTATTGCAGATACAAATTGATGGGGAAGTTGTTAAAGATCACAACACACTTCTTAGGTTCCCTTTTCTTACAGCGATTTTAGCACTTTTTTAAAATTCCTTAGCTTTTGTAAAAGTGTCTCATTTTGTTTTCTTTCTCAGGAGGGGTTCCAAGTTAGTTTACCATAGGCTTCCTTGGAAGGAACCTGACACGCCATACTCGCTAGAAGTTTTGTATGAAGACAATGATTTGGTAACTTCCCGCTCTAAACAAAACATAGAAACGAAATTTTTAAAGTTTCTTCCTTTTGCTTGATGCTATGTACAAGTAATGACCAGTGCAGCTCCCTATTTGGTTTTCTTTTGGTCTGCATTTAATATTCTGTTCTCACCTGGGTTCGTCTATGTACTCAAAGATACTTCTAGGTTCCAAAACAAATTTGGTATTGTGAGATCATTTTGTCTAGTTTTCAAATGGCAATGTATATTTGCTGGATTTCATATATTGTAATTGTTAATGCAGATAGCCTTAAACAAGCCTTCTGGACTTCAAGTATTGCCAGGAGGGCTTTTCCAGCAACGGACTTTGTTGACGCAACTGCAGTGGTGTTTTAGTAAAAAAGATTCGTCCACCGGAGCTCGTGAATCACACCCTGTCCCTGTACATCGACTGGGAAGAGGAACATCAGGTTAGCCTATATAATGGTTAAGTATTCTCCGCCCCTTTATAAATCTTGTACTCTTCACTCGACTTATCACTTCTCATTGCAAAAGCATCTCTACAATGATATCTCTCTACTAGGGAAGTTGTTAAGACTTAAAAGATATGTTGTTTTCACTTTATTTCATTTGTTTTAATTGAAGAACTCTTTTCTCAGGTATACTTCTCTGTGCGAAGACAAAGCTTGCAAAAACGAAACTTGCTTCTTATTTTGCCGAGGGAACATCTCTTGTTGGGTTCGGGTGAGTTCAAGCATGATTTCTTGCTTCAGCTCATTTTTGAAAAGATATTTGGTCTTATCTATAGGGTTTTTTAGTCAGTTTTTTGGGAAACATTTGTTTCTAGAGCTGGTTAGTAATTTATCAATGCTATATGTGAAGGCAATTTCAGTTACAGATTGCAGTCTCTTGTATTACCCTAGTAATGGTCGCTACGCATGCAATAGTATAGTATTTTGATTTAACATCTTGTACCTAAAGTTCTTCATATGTTTGCATTCAGTTTTCTGATTCTGATGTAAAAATATATGACGTATGGTCGATTAACTTACTGGACACTTCCACAGTTCCACTATGTGGGGAATATATGAATTATAGGATCTATGAAGTCTTTTGCATTTGTATTTTCACTATGTTCATAGGAAGTAAACTCTTCTTACAGTAACCTGGATCAAGAGTGTGGAACCGGAAGGAAAATATCAAAGATCTATCGAGCACTAGCAGATGGTATAGTTGAAGAAGACGAGGCAAGACCACTTTATTATTTGCGCTGAGAATTAATTTTTTAAATGCTCTGTAATTTGATTAGATATGGAACTGAGATAGCGTCTCTTGACAATGCTGCTTCTTTATCTACATTTTGAAGGTAGTCATCAAACAGCCTATCGGAGTGGTTAGATATCCTGGGGTCGCAAAAGGATTATATGTTGCTTCTTCAGAAGGTCATTTCTAATATCTTATACCATTAGCTAGAGCGGCAGAATATTCCACACTAAATCTAATTTGTTTTGTCTTTATGTTTGTTCTGATTTTCCTTCTTATCAGGTAAACCTGCTCTTAGCAAAGTAGCTGTTCTGGAGAGAAACATGCAAAGAAATTGCACGCTGGTTAAGGTCTTTCTTCTGTTTCATCTAAATTCCAATGCTGTTAGCTTTCGCACTTGCATGTCACACAAGGATGATAATGCAGAAAGCGAAGGAGAGAGTAGACCAAAACAAATCTGTTGAAAATCATCTTGTTTCTATGCAAAACAGGTGGAAATACAATCTGGAAGACCACATCAAATCAGGATTCATCTTGCATACATGGGACATCCCTTGGTAGGTAAAAAATTCTGTTTCCTTCCGCTCTGTCACACATTTTGAATTGGTATTCTGTGCGACTTGTGCATTTATAGCCCTTCATAATTGTAAACTAAGAAAAGTTGGATAAGTAGCTTTAAATAGAAGTTTTGTAAGGAATTGTTTTGCATCTTTACTTATGTATCAACTAGGCAATCATTGAACAACCACACTGCTAGCTGGTTGTAGGAAAACTTTAGTAGAGCATTGAATACAAAAGGATTTGGATGGATAAAATCTTAGTCCTACGTGATGCTCAAATTAGTTATAACTGTATGAGCCGCATAGTAGCAGTCAAGGGCATGAGTTGCTTATTGCATAATCTAGGAAGATCTTTCTACACACAAGTTTTCTTTTGGCAGTGGTCTGTGAAAGAGGAATGTGAATTTTACCGGATCTCAATGCATTGCAAGTCAGCAAACATGGAAATTTTTTTGAAACAGATAGCTTACATGTTGACCAAAGTGCAGGGGACCCTCTTTATGTTGCGGGCGGAAAACCAAAGTGCTTTGATCCAGATGCTGTAGATTCTGCTTTTGCTGAAGATGGGTACAAACTTGGATCACTTCTCTTTCGTACTTACATTTTCCGCTATGTTTTCTAGGTTCCTTGAGATCATTGGTCCTTAAGAATTGAACGATCTTGAGCTAACAAATGTAGCATGATGCAATATAGTAGGTAGTTTGTTGTATAGACTAATGTTATAACATGTGCCATGACTAAATCGAAGCACCGTGGCCTAATATTTTGATGCAGGGGTTACCGAAGACCTAATCAGGCTGTTCCTGGGGATTGCGGATATCATCTGCACGCACATCAAGTAGAGCTACCAAATCTGTTGAACCTTAATAAGGTATAAAACTAATCATGCTAAAGCCACACTAGTTAAAATCTGAGTGTCTTTGCAACAGTTGTCCAGCCCTTAGCCAGATCGATTATTTCTTAATCTCAGCTTATAATCATGTCATTACCGTCTTGCAGGTTGTAAAAGTCGTGGCGCCATTACCACCAATCCTCCAAACAAGTTCCGAGGCAGAAGAAAATGGTTTTTCCTCCTGCAAGTTAAGTTAAATTAGTCTTTCACTAGACACCATTAGATGTGATTCTTCAAGTGTTATCCTCCTTGGAAAACATACAGAGAGCTAAGCTTAGCTCTTTCTGTTATTATCAGAAACATTACAAATACAAACATCAGCTATGAATTTTTTTGCAGGCGCCTAACTTACGTTGAACCCAAAGAAAAAAAATGCCTATATAAACTGACATTCTAAATTAAGAAGAAAAAAATGACAATAAAATGAGATATAATACAGATAGGATGACAAACAAAGAATATGCCAATCCTCCAAAACAAACTAATCATGATCCTAACAAGCTTTTGATTCACGTGGCTGCCTCTGCTACGCCATTTACTCCTCCTATGTTACCTTCATCCTTACCGCTCGAGATCTCTGCTCTATCTTCGATATGCTTCCCAAAGCTCAGAATTCCATTAACATCCAGCTGAATCTCTTTGGTACTAACAACTTGCTGCTTCAGATGCGTGGCAAATGCTTCAGGGCAACTTGCAAGCAACTTGGCAGACTCTGGCAAAGATGTGAGCCCGGTTTGAATTCTGTTGCCATCCCAGAAACCGTAGCTCGTAATAGGAACATTCTGAAGGTGTTGCTGATTAATGTACTGGTGTCTTGTATCCTGGTCCCTGCTCAAGGTTGATGATGACCTGATACTTCCGCCTGGATTGTGTTTTTGCTTGCTTCTATTCTCATCAGCGGTTAGGACTGTGCCAAACAGCTTCACATCTCCATTCATATCGAGCCTCTCAGTATCACACAAACTAAATGAATGGCTCCTGCTATGACCAGATGATTCATCTTTATGGTACACTGTCAGAGGCTTAGTACCTGAACTAGTACACTTGTTGAGTGAGAAACCTTCACCTGTGCGTTGGGTTTTCACAATCAAATCAGATTTTGACCTACTTATCCTGCTCGGATCTTGCGTGAATATCTGGGCAATTTGAGAATATTCCGCATTAGTAGCACGTAATTGACCATTCTGCACAGGGTTAACATGGCCTAAAGCCCGAATCTTCCCATCCAAATCCAGATTGACCTTAGAAAACTGCCAACCTAAGTTATTTGTTTGGACAACTTGTCCAGCAAGGGCATTTGGTAACTCGGACTCTGTTTGGCAATTGGGATTTCCTTGTGGTACACTGACACCTACAAGGTCATCCGTCGACACCTCAATCGGAACATGGTGGAGACACTCAGGATAACTGAAACTTGAAGGCGCAGCTTCAGCCTCAAGGCCAGAATTTCTGGTTTTGTTTGCAGCCTGCATCACTCCATCCTGATTCTTTGAACTTTGTTTAGGCAATGCAGCACCTTGACCTCCGGAGCCCTTGCGTGAGCTTTCTGTGGGAGTCTCCACAATAATATTGGAAAGAACGCTTGAGCCACAATACAAGGGATCAGAAGATACAGCGACAGGTGTTAAATTGCCTTCATCTATTTCCATTGACAACAGATCATTGCTCTTAATTTTCCCTGCATCCTGACACTGGCTCTCAACAGTATTAATGTCTACTGAATCTCTACAAGGTTCCGAAACAACACCCGGGAAATCCCCATTTATAGATGCTTTGTTCACGAGACTAGTATCATCTTTCCGACGCAAATATGTCAGCCCATTCTCTTGTTCTGATCTACTGAGGTCGGCTTTCATATTTGCAGTGTCTGAATGATTAGTTCCCTCCTGATTCATGTTAAAAGGTGAGGTAGGTGAATTCAAACCCATCTTGGCGCTGACTCCATTACTACATATGCCAGAATTACTCTCCATAGCACAAGGATCTTCCAAGTCGCTTCCACCACCCTCATTGGCATTATCAACACTTGCAGACGTGCTTATATTTCCAGATCCAGACTGTATACATTCCAACCCAAGGCATTTCCGAACTTTGCTAAAGAAAACCCTACACTGATCCTGAGACCTTGTCCTGACGAACCTCGAAATTGAAGCAAAATTCTTGCCAAATAGCGAGAATCCCTGTATAAAGGCAGATCTCTCATCATCTGTCCAATGAATAGGACCCGTTTCCCCGCAGCTCTCTTCTGAACATGAGTCATCTTCTTCATTGCTGTTCTCATTATGTGTAGTATGAGATATCCGAGGCTTTTTTACAACATGATCAAACTTCAGATGATCAATACACCTCTCTGAAGAGTTCACGGAAGTCCTTAAGCAAGAATTTATCTGCTCCGATGACAAAGGGCCAACATCTAAAACATTTTCACCAAGAGTTCTCTTCCGAGGGAAATCAAAACTGTAGGAGCACCCTTCAGAGTTATTGCCATCGTGATGCAATGAATTAGAACTGCTGCAACCTCTAAGGGTGATCCTTTTGGAAGGGATCTGCCTGGTTGATGCCACCTTTCCTGCGTTTGCAGCTATTATGGAGACGGCACCTAAAATATCAAGAGAGGCAGCACCCATGTCACGTTTCCACTTTTTTCGTGGCGCCAACATGTAGGTGTGCTTCCCTTCTTTACCATAAGCACGCTGCTTCTTTATTTTCCCAAAACAATCAGACTTGTGGTTTTTGTAGTAGTAATCAATACAGTCCGCAGTTGTCTTTTGGGCAAGATATGAAGCAATCTTCTTGAAATCCTTCCCGTGCATTGCTAGCATATTCAGGAAAGTCTCTTTCTCCTCTGAGGTCCAAGGATTAATCATTGTTCTTTCCTTCTCAACGTCACATGGATCTTCAATCAGTCCATTGCTAGAGATAAACCTCGACATCGCCCTCTCTTTCTCATCCAAAATCATCGCAGGCATTCTCAACATGTCTCTAAAAGGCTTTAGACAGGTACCCTGAAGTAGCTTTTCCATATAGCTTACAAGCTCTGTTGTAGAGGCTACACTATCCTTTCTTGGAGCTGCACGTGTAGAGTAAAACAGTTAATTAAACTTCAAAACTCGATGAAAAGAAGGTTTCAATTCGTCTGAGATCATTATCCAAACGTTTTACAAAGCAATCTGTTTGGACTACACCTCCTAGATATACAAGCTAGATGTTAAAGTAAAGATTACAGTGGAGACAATTTTAAAATAAAACCCAAATTTAACAAAATTACAGTGGAGAAAATAATAGAGTAAAACCCAAAATCTAACAAAATTAACCTAGCATTACCAATGTCCAACAAACTCGTTAACATGGAATGATTTTGAACTTAGCTTGCAAATAAAGAACCACTCTTTGACAACTCTTGTGCCCAGAGAGCATATGGCATCATGGTTCAATTAACCGTGTCAAAAGTTCTAGAGTTTTCTCTCAACAACTCATGCTCTCTTGAAAAGTCAATACATTTCAAGACCCTACAACTAAGACAAATATTTACCTCAGAAAGAGAAAATACGAACATAAATACTCCAAAGAAACACATACCAAGACTGAACCCAATTTTATCCAAGACAAAGATAAACCACAAAACGCTTAAAATACCAAGAGAGAAAACCAGTGAAAAAAGAGATTTGAGAACTTTACCAGAAGAAGACAATCTCAGGCGGGCAGGCTGGGGAAGCTTCAGATACCCACTATTTTTTGCATTAGGATACAGTTCTGTTTTTTTGTTAGACTTCGGTTGGTACTTTGAGAAGGCTAGTTGACGCAGATCTTTCTTCCATGCGAGCTGAAACGCTTTATACTGAAGAAGTAAAATTTTCTCCCTAGCTCGCAAGAGCTCTATCCTATCAGCAATTTTCTCGTTGACATGAGAATCAAACTGCCTTTGACATATGCCAGGAAATCTTAAGCCATCAAACGAACTGAAATCTCGTGGAAGCAATTCGTTAAATACTTCAGATGATTCACTGGCATATTTCTTATTGGAAGATAATAACTTAGCGCAGAGCACGTCTTCATTGGAGGCCATGCTATCATCAGCAAAGGAAAGCTCAATAGTTTCCTGATTGGCAAAAGCAGATCTGTTAATCTCTTTAGACGAAGCAGCTGCCTTCATAGACGGTATGGGCAACATATCTTCACTGCTTTCAACTGTGGCAAGAGATTGGGATAGAGATTTGACTTCTCCAGGACAATCCTCAAAAACATCAACAGGAACCTTGGCTAAAACAGCCTGATGAACAGGATCCCTCACCAGTGTTTCAGATACAGAGGAAGCAGCTGCCTTAGGACCCAAAATACAAGAAGCTTCCTGCTCATTGGCCACATTTTCATCTCCCTCACAAAGGCGTGAACTGGATCCAACAACACGGCATTGTCTTCCACCTTCAAGCATTAGCGTCTTATGTTTGTTTTCAAGCAGATCAATTTCCGATTCAGTAATCTCCACAGCTTTCAAAATATCACCTTTCCAGGCAAGTAATCTGTTCATTGATGTCAATTGGACAGAACTGGAATCCCCTGTACCAGAATCATCAGTACCAAGCAACTCATTGAGCAAACAGCCAAATCGCTCCATTGAGATGTTATCAATCTCCTCGATATTGATTGGAAATCGTTCAAGGTGAGTACTAGACACGGGACTAGGTGAACGGCACAGGTTATTGACATCGCTAGCAGTTATAGCAGCTTTGGCAGATGATTTATCTGCAAACCCTGAACACGAAAAGAAAAAATAATTATACGGGTATGTTACATTGTCCCCAGCAGAAGATAAGGAGTGAAAGCACAAACAAGTGAAAGACATGATAGAAGAGAAAAGAGAAATCAGTGTTTACAAGATCAGATACATGGCAAAAGAGCTCAAGCAATAGGAAAATGATGTAGGTAACTCTAAATCGCGCAGGAATGAGAATAGCACACAAAGAGATGTATGAAGAAATGAACCGTACCTGGTGATGAACTGCAAGCTACAGAGGATGGAGTTGTAGGGGAACCATATTCTGGAACAATGGCTGCTGTAGGACTTTTATCAACAATATTTTTGTTCAAAGAATGCAGTTCCTCTGTACTGTTTTCCAACAATGTCGTTCCATCTTCGTTTGTGTTAACATCAACTTTCTTTTTCTCATATTTCGCCAGGCCCTCACCCCACCCAAGACGTTGTTTCTTTCTAGAACTCATCTCATCAGTAAGAAGAGTAGTTGTGGCACATGCGGTAGCATCTCCTGAAGAAGATTGAGTCACAGCAACAATTTTAAGAAGAACCTCATTTTTCCGATCGCTGGAATCAACAGCCCCCAAGCTTTTTAAGCTACCTGAGTGACTAAAACTTGAACTTTGAGATGCAAAACTCCCAGAACCGGTCCATGCTGGAAGTTTCCCAATTGCTCCCAGAGAACTCTCCTTATCACATTTCCTGGCACCGTCTAAATCACTTCCATGTGACCTATTAGCTTGCGGGTCTTTCAGGTGAAGCTGTTCCCAAGTCCCCTCTAGCTCTGCATTGAGGGTTGGAGGATCTAATGAATTATCATTAGCTAACCTTCGAGCATGCACCAAATCATTGCATTGCTTTGCTGGAGAATAGGCCTTATTACCATAATTGTTCTCCGAAGAAGGCCGTTCAAACGAGCTAACACAGTCAGAAAGGGGATCTGAAGGAAGTGATAGCCTCTGATCTGAAAATTTAAGCTCGTTTTTGAATTTAAGTGTCCGTAATGGGGTACAGAGCTCAATGTCCGGGTGAGGAGTGGAGTTGGCTGGATCCCAAGAGTTTACAACATTAGTATGAGTATCTGAAGCATGTGGTGGCCTTTCATCAACTGACCTCCGACCATTTCTAATACCACATGGCCTCTCAAAACCTCTAGAAGATCCGTTGCTCATCTCCCATGTATTGCATTTCCAGTCCTTCTGGCTAAAAGAAACTCTATCATCCCTGCAATTCCTGGTATATCTCCAGTCTCCACGTGGTGCTGATGGTCTATAGTAGTCATTATCAAACATCCGGGCACTGGACCGAGAAGATGTGTATCCATGACTAGTCTCCTCCACAAACTGGTGCCGTCCACCCTGCTTACCATGACCTTCAGAAAATTTGGAAGACAAAGAGGAAATTATAAACTATGCAAGACCTATATTCATCCAAATATATATAACTTCTAAAACTAAAATGATATCTTTCCACAAAATTTTGACCTTTTACTGCTGGAAAAAGTTGTTGTGTAATATTTCCCAAGAGGAAATCAAACTCCAGAACCATCATATCACATAAAGAAAACATTTTGAGGTGACAAAACCAAAACACAGGATATTCAAATCTACCAGAAAAAGTATAAATTTAAGCAACCCACAACATAAGCCCCATCTTCATCCAAATCTATAGCATGTAAACCTAAAACCAACAACAATCCACGGTTTTTGGGGACTTGTACTGCTGGAAAACAAGTCTTGTAGGATAATGACTCAGGAACAAAGTTAGGTTCATATTTTCATGTTTTCAGATTTATGAGCTAAAAAATACTACCTCAACTAAGATAAATAAAACTCCTCTTGCTGTCAAACTACATCTACCTGAGTATTAGATTCCAAACATAAAAATTGCTCCTTTTCAATAGTAATCTCATCGACCCACTTCCTATCGATCTTCAGAGTTGTGGTAATGCTCCAAACAAAAAAAAAAACCTAAATCGTCAGACAGCAAGAACTCAATTTTTTCAAAAAAACAAAGGTATGCCTCTAAATCAACAATCAAAACAGAGCAGGAAAAGTATTATATCGCCGGATTCTAAGCCCTAATCATCGAGAAAAGAAGAAGAGGAAAAAAAAAGAGGGTTAGGTATCTTACAAGAAGGTCTGCGGAAGTCTCCAGATCCCCAGCGTGAAAACTCGCGGGGAACATGGTGAGAAGAAGGATTTGTAGGCGAATCCCTCCATCTAAAAGCCGAATCGAAAGATGCTTCAGGCCTCTCGTGCTTCCTCTGCCTCAAGAGCTCCTTCCGATCCCACGATGCGTGATCCTGCGGCATCAAATTATCCAGAACAATCGCATAAGAGTAACTTTGAACCCACTCCAGATTCCGTCCCGGCGGTGACCAAACGAGGTACAAAGCGAAGGTCGAAGCTGAATCAATGGAGCCCGCTTCCAGACAAAAACTGAAACCAAATCGAAGATGTTGAAGTTAGAAGGGACTAGGGTTTCGTCAATCTGAGGTTAAAAACGGGGTAAGCCCAAAAAGGAGGAAACAGAATCGAACAAGGAACCTGGAAGGAGCCGAGCTGTAATCACTACTGAGAGAACGGAGATTCTATCGGTGAAGAAAAAGCTTAAAAAAGGAAAAGAGGCTTCCTTGAATTTCGGGTCGCAGACAAAGTGGATTTTTTTATCAGGCGATTCTCTCTGTATTAGCTCGAACAAGCGGAGAAGAGAATGGAGATAGAGAGAGAGAAAGCATGAAAGAGAATCCCTGTAACCTAAAGACGCCAATAAAACCGTATTTCAATATATTTTTGGCGTCCGCACTATTTATATCATTTAAACAATTAAAAGTAAAATAACCCCAACAAAAAAAAAAGTAAAAATATTATTATTTACTTATTTACTATTCCTTTTTTTAATCGTATACGGTATTGCAAAGACTTCGTCTTAATACACCTCTCCATAACTACATTCGAAGAACTAAGCAAAGTAGTGTAAATCGAAGTTAGCCACTAATAAATAGCTATCATCATCTGTATTTAATTCGTTTTATCATTAAGAACCAATGAGAGCAAAGAAAATTACTTTAATCATTAAAATTAAAAAAACGTTAACAGAGCTCTCATTGACTTGTGAAGCTGATTTATTAAGCAGAGAGATACAGAGAGAGAGAGAGAAAGACGGCTTTCCACCGCAGTTTCCATAAATCTTTCAGACAATCTTCAAAATTCGCAGATCTTTGGTCTTATTTGTGATGGCGCATCAGGACAACTTGGATCATCGGTATTGTAGTTCTGTCTTTTTTTCCCAAAATCAATCGTCTCCGACTCTCCGTATTGGTCTTTACTTACCCGCTTCCATAGTTTCTCAACAACCATATTGACTAGAGTCGTTTGCAATCGAATCACGTTTAGAAGCTGGTTGATCTTGTAATTAGGGGAATTTTCTTATGGCTCATTATCTTCATTTTATAGGTGTATTGATTCAGACGCACAAGATCCTACTTCAATGACCATTGAATTTCTCCGTGCACGTTTACTTGCTGAAAGAGCCGTTTCCAAGAGCGCTAGAGCAAAGCTTGATGGACTCGCTGATAAAGTTTGTATATTGTCTTTAATCCTCTATTTGAATTTTTTTTTGCTAATTTGTGAACTGTTTTTCTTATAGCCTACTGTGTCTGTCATGTCTTAATCTTTAGGTAGCAGAGCTGGAGGAACAGCTCAAGATTGTGTCTTTACAGAGAAAGAAGGCAGAACAGGCAACTGCAGATGTCCTTGCAATCCTTGAAGAAAATGGGTTTACTGATTTCTCGGATGCTTATGATTCAAACTCTGATCAAGAAAGCTATTCTCAGACTAATTCAGGTAAGCGTTCTAAATCTCAGTGGAGTAAATTTTCTGAGTGTTGGGTTTGAATGAGATCGAGCAATTTTTCAATATCGGAGGTTTATATATTTTCTAGTGTCTGGCAAAAGTCTATCCTGGAAAGGCCGTAGGAGAGAAGCAGGTTCTTCCGACAAGATCAAGGAATCACGTAATAGAAGACAAAGAGGTTTTGACTCTGCTTATTTTGCCTCGCCTAGACACCGTCAAGGAAGATCTTGTCGACAAATAAAACGCAGCGAATCAAGGTCTGTTTATTGTTCTTAAGATCGAAGGTTTATATCTCTTATTATAGGTTCTAGACCTGATGAATCTCTTGGTAAATCTATTGTAATACTTGCATATATATGTTGTATGTTAAAACAACCAATATCTCTGAACTTTCCAGAATTGTATCTGAAGATCATAAGAGAGATGGAAATACAGTTGTTGATCTTCAAGGAAACGGAGTTCGTACTGAAGTGCTTCCTAACACGAGTGAGGAAGCATCCAGAACTGTTGTTGATGTTACGGTTGTGAAGGGAGACGAAAGTTTGCAGAAGTTGTCATATTCAAATGTTTTAGAGAAGAGAGACCGTATGGACATCAACTTAGAGAGAGCTTTAGAAAATCGTGCACAAGTTATTGGGTCTTTTGAAGATATGGAAGAGACTCAAAAGCAATGGGAGAAAAAGTTCACAGAGAATAAATCCTCTGCCCTGGTATGCCGTCTGTGAACTAGTTCATTAGTTGTGATTATGGTATGTTGTCGTATGCTTACATGAACCAAACTTCAAAATTGTTTATAAGAGATTTCCATAATTTAAAGGTATCTTTAGTTCACAAATATGAAAAAAAAATGCCCACTTCATGAATCTAGTCTCCGCTCATACATACAAGTAAAATTAATATTCTGATCAAAAATTTCAGTGAGTTCAGTAGACATCTTGATCAATATTTCTTCTCCAACCTTGCAGGATTTATGTGACGTAGGAAACCATTCAGATGTGACAGATGAAAGTAATGGGGAAAAAGTCCAAGCTCAGCTTCAAGTTTCCACAGTAGTGCCCTCACTCCATGATACAAAGTCTATAGCCAATAAAGTTAACTTTAGGGAATCGTTTGAAACTTTGTCGCATGGTTCGCCTGATAATTCAGTAACATCATCTGATAAGTGCTGCAAAAGCTGTGGTTCCAAATCTGTGAAACAAGATGCTGCTCATTCCGGAGACAAAGGAAAACACATTTCTGAGAGTCCTAAAAGTGAGTCTTCATCATCTATTCGGTCATCTCCGGTAACGCGACCAAACTCGAGAGGTGGTTCCTTTAGCAGTAATGCCAATACCATCCAGAAAGTAGATTATCCCTTAGTTCCGGTGGCAAAAGAAAAGTCTGATACCTGTGATACTGTGCTCACTGCGCTAAAGCAAGCTAAGTTGTCTCTGCAAGAGAAAATCAATAGCCTACAAATCAAAAAACCTGAGTATCTTTTTGAAAGCTCATATCCTACTACAACGCCAGGCTCATATATGAACGCATACTCACTACAGATAGAGCCAGCATTTAATACCAAATCATCTCTTCCAGCTTCCAGCGTTGGGTCCATGGTAGAGTTTCCTGTTGGCTGTGCTGGACTTTTTCGAGTACCCACTGATTTTTCACCTGATGCATCAACGAGGAACAACTTTATAGCTTCGGGTTCTCAGAAAGCTCTTGTTGGCCATATACCTGAGCGACATCAGCTTTTCACCAAAACATCCCCAAGAGACTTCCTACATGCTGGCTTCGAAAGCCAATTACTAGACACTAGTCCTCCTCCTTCGTCATTGGATGACCGCCCTTTGACCACCCCATACATTGGTGGACCAAAACTGTGGGCAGGCTTCAGGGCCGATGGCTTACCGATGGTTGATGCTCAAGAATCCAGACTTTATAAAGGTACAACAAGTGTTTTAGGCAGTGCTATCTCTAATGGAACATCTGGTTTTGAACGACAATGAGGATGACCGATTAGCCACGGCTGTGTAAGTCCTCTTTCATATATGTTTTCCGTAGGTTTTTGAATATCTTAAAGCTCATGTAATCAGTTTCTAATCCGAAGATGTCTCTCTTTGCAGTTACTGGGGATGCGGGGAATGATTGAAGAATACTTTACAAGTGGATCACAAACTCTTCATGCCACTTGATCAAGAAAAATATGTGTTTAGTGTAGAATTTGGTGACAAGTAATCAGGCAACGAGGGTTTCTGATAACTAAGAAATGTTCCACCAATGTCCTGAAAATTAATATACGTGGTATGTTAAATAGACGTTAAATATGTATCTTAGCTGTTGTGTTTATTCATTTAATATAAAGGTGGATGCATAAATTCATATATACCACTCTGCTTGTAAATGAAAAAAAAAAAATATATATATATATATGAATCAATAATTGTTAGCTTCAAAACTCCTCGAACCTCATGTCAAAACTCTCACAATCAAGTTGAAGAGGATATATCTTAATTTTGAACAACAATGATTCCAATCGCTTGTTTGAGATGGTTGAGACTAAAAACATAATGGAAGTAACTCAGACTTGCAAATACATGATGCTCTCAGAATCATCCCAATAATGCATACCCAAAGACTCAGTTTCAAAAGAGTTGTAAAGTGATGAGCATAATCCAAACCCTCCTAACATCTTACGGCTCTTCAAATCGCAAAAGACATGCACTGTATGGGGATTCTTATAATAGAACCTAATCTCATCCTCACGACTGGTACCGCGCATCCACAACTCCACGCCCTCAGTGAGGAGTAGAATGTCAAAAACAGGCAAAACAGAAACCTTCTTCTTGTCCGACCATTGACTCTTTCTTGCATCCTCCACAAACCACAAGTCAATACATCCATCAATCGTGACATGGGAGTATTCAAACACAGCTATTTTGGCTTGGTAATTCATTAGATTCGTGACAATCCTGTCCGAGATGATGGCAACTTCAAGTGGTAATCCAATCAAAATAAACTCCTCAGAACTCATGTCAAAACTCACAACCACAGTTATTAGGCCATGCAGAGAGCAGTGCATAGTGGCCGTGGCCGTCCTTATCCACCAAATAGAACCGACGCCAGTGCCGTAGCGGCGATGGAGATTTAAGGAAAAGATTAGTAAAATAACTAGAGGAGATGATGGATGACCAGAGCTTTGAGACGCACTTGAACCTCATCAACGAATTCGCCGGCAATCTCGCTAGGATCTCCATCAACATATCCTCAGTGAACTCCGCGACGACGGGTCTTGAATCGGGCTTGATCAAGAGGGCTCTTCTATTCCTTTTCCCTCGTCCTTCTACCTTCGTCCTTTTCATCTTCTTCCGACTGAAAAGACGATCCTCTAAATAACTTACAGATCCTCTAAAGTCTGCTTCTTTCTTTTGGTTTTGGTGGTAGTCAACCCTAAGCATTCTACTTGGGGTCCATTGTTATACTATAAAAATCAGAACATAACTCACTTAGGAGGAGATAACAAGATTTTAATAGATATGTTGGATTTCAAAATCAAAACAAAGAATTCAACATTAAAAACGTTGGTTCGGACATCTTGTGGTGGAAGAAGAAATTCGCAGAAATCTCCTTCCTTCATACTCCTCGAAGCAACAACAAAGCAGCAGATTTACTGGCTAAGAATGCACCTGTCAATTCTTTATTTTATTCTGCAAAGTTGTACCCACCAATATACTGTATTTGATGATTGTAACAACATTTTAAATATATAAAATAAGTATTTTGTCGGAAAAAAAAATCACTTAGGAGGGAGGAATTGTATTATTTCCCTTTTTTCACGAAATATTATATATCCTGTTTTTATAATGAACACATTCGGGTTTACTGATTCTCAGATACAGATAACTACATTAGTAGTTTTTTTATTTAAACTAGCATCATGCATGGAACTATATATACATTTTTTTTATATAAAATAACTATATATAATTAAGGGCATAAAACAGCATGCATGATTTTACTCTATTATGTGCCCAACTTGTTTAAAAAAGACAGTTTTCTTTGAAAGTTGTTTAGATTCCTCCTGGTACATATAATGATCTGAGAGGAGATGCTCTCTTTCTTAGATATATTAATATTACAACCAATGACCTATTTTATCTCACAATTTCATTTGATATATAAAAATTTATCACTCTGTATTTTTTTTTATTGTAAAAGTAAACGAATTGTCATTGAGTATAATTTTTTAAATTATACTGTCTACTGAAAAAAATATAGAACTCATAAGGAAAAGTAAGTCAATAGCAAATATATTTAAACAAAAATCCAAGCAAATTGAAAATCAACAAACAGACATAAATCCAAGCTTGTTTTGCCTAAACTTGATTTTATGCACTTTCTTAGTTTCTCATAAGATCTTCTATTGTTTTGTATTCTCACAAATAAACTGGTGTACCACATACTCAAACTTATCACTCATTTAAGAATATCTCGAACATTTTTCATAATTTGTACAATCGATGCACAAACCATAACATGTATTGATTTTGTTAGTTATTTGAAGACATAAGTTTTAAAAACCTTAAGTTAATTGATAAATATTAACTTTGTTTTGGATTTTGAAAGTTTTGTTGAACTAACTTCAACTTAGATAAATAAGTGATTAGTACATACACTCCCATGACAACTACTTGAAATCATGGTTCAAGTCTGTCTTCATTTTTTGACTTTCGAAATGGAGACCTTTAACTAAATGGGAGCAGAAGCGTGTGCCTTCCAATTTACTCTGATACCCAAGCAACGTCGGACATATTGCTTTTTAATATTATGTAATTTTATTTGCTATCAGTTCTAGCAAAATATGTATGGATTTTTCATTTCGTTGCTTGCTATCTACGTATAAAAAACTATGTTTGATAATCTAATGCTTCTTAATTCTGTTTTGTTATTTCAGTATAAATTTTATTTTTAAAAACTCTACGACAAAACATAGTAACAATCCTTTTCTATTCCTTTTTCCTCGTCCTTCTACTTTCGTCATTTTCATCTTCTTCCGACGAAAAGACAATCCTTTAAGCAACTTACAGATCATCTCTTCTAAACTCTGCTTATTTTCAGTTAACAACTACTGAGTTTGGTGTTAGTTGTGTTATATGTCTTTTGGCCCTGATTTACTTTAATGAGTTTCATGTTTAATGTTGTCAAATATTTATGGATAATTACTAAGAAATAAACCGAATTTAGCTGATAAATTTAGAATTTGGCCATTCTCAAAAATGTAAATTTTGACATGTAACTCTAGTCGGTGCAAAATCGTTCTCAAATTTATGGATCTAACCTACGCTAAAAGTATGGGGGCTTATTTAAAATTCCGTCAAACTTAATGGTAGTTCTTAATGCTAACTGAGCTTGTTTGGATTTGGGTCTTAGCCCAAAATAATCTCGCAAATATCACGACGTCGTGTCGATTTGATAGAAACGTTTTGTGTTTCTGATATTATCTTCAGGCTGTTTATACTTTATATATGCACAAATCCAATTTGGCTTCTTCATTTCTAAACGAAAAACAAAGACTGAAATATTATATATCCTGTTTTTATAATGTACACACTCGAGGTTTATTGATTCTCAGATACACGTTACTACATTAGTAGTTTTTTTATTTAGACTAGCATCATGCATGGAGGAACTATATAATTTTTTTTTTAAAAAAAAACTACTTATAATAAGGGCATAAAACATCATGCATGATTTTACTCTGTTGTGTGCCCAACTTGTTTAAGAAAGAGACAATCTTCTTTGAAAGTTGTATTGATTTTGAAACTTATCACTCATTTAAGAATATCTTGAACATTTTTCATGATTTGTCCAATCGATGCACAAACCATAACATGTATTGATTTTGTTAGTTATTTGAAAACATAATTTTTAAAAACTTTAATTTAATTAGAAAATATTAACTTTGGTTTAGGATTTTGAAAGTTTTGTTAAACTAGCTTCAACTTAGATAAACAATTAATAAATACATATACTCTCATGACAACTACTCGAAATCCTGGTAAGTTTGTCTTCATTTTTTGACTTTCGAAATGGAGACCACTCACTAAATGGGAGCAGAGGTGTTTGGCTTCAAATTTAATCCGATACCCAAGTAAAGTAATGTTGGACGTGTGTTACTTTTTGATATTATGTGATTTAATTTGCTATTATGTTAGAAATGTATGTTTGGATTTTTAATTTCGTTGGATTAATTATGCTTGCTATCTATGATAGTAAAAACTATGTTTGCGAGTCTGAATTCTGTTATTTTTATTTCAGTATAAAATTTATTTTTAAAAATCTATATTTAATTGTAAACTCTACGAAAAGGTTGACAATTTCAAGCCCAAAACATTATTTGGGGCCCACAATCATTTGACAATATAAAAAGTCTTGAAAGAAAAATCATTTCCCTTGCCAATGTTTGATCAGATATGGGCGGCTGGCTCCAATTGAAAGAGCTATCCAGTCACGTTTTGGTTAGTTATGTTATTGTTTTTGGTTACAATTTCAACATTGCAACGAGCCAAAAAGAAAAAAAAAAAAGAAATACTAATCAAATATGCTAAGAGCTGACTTCGAAGGCATTATTCGAAGCCTCGTTCCTTTAATTTGTATTGAAACTTGAAAGGAACACACTTATACATATTCATGTGATGGAAACAAAGTGTTTAGCAGTAGAATTAGTATAAAGAGAACTGCCTCGTAAAAATTAAATAAAAATGAAATAAAACAAAGTGCTCGTCTCATCTCTCTTTAGCTCGGGTATTCTTCGACCAGCCTCATTCCTTTAATTTGTTATTGCAGGTGCTCTGTGCTCACCAACTTATTCTGTAACTTGCCTTCCAAGTAACGAGTTCCCACGTGATCACGTCTTGCTTTGACTACTTCTCTTCCTCATGCGCACGTGCCAGCTCTCTCCCTTTCTTGCTTCGACTTCTCTTCCACGGGATCCCTCTTTTCCACTTCTTCCAAACTCTTCCATCTTATTCTTTGGACAAACTAATGGGCTTTCTCTAGGGCGTTTGTCGCATCTTGACGGAGTGGTCTCGCGGATGGGACCCGGGTGAGACCCGATACCAATGTTAATTATTCTGAAGTGAAGGCGCTACCATGAAAAATAGAGAAGCAAGTTGTCGCATCACTGGAACATAACACAAGAAAGAAGATGAGATGTATTCCAGGAAACAAAAAAGAAGTGCTCCTAGGAGCATAAGAGGAGAATTCTAGTCATTACAGAAGTAGATGAAACTCAAAAGTCGAGTACATACAATGGAAAATAAGAAACATTGGCGCTAAATTTTCTGGTGTTTTTGCTATACAGAACCAAAATGGGAAACATTCATCGTCGTCTTCGTGCAATTTTACTAGTCTTCGTGCCCATGAGAAGTTTGATCATCTTCATCATCACCATCTCCCCGATGATCACCATCATCCGTTGTATCCTTTTTGTCACTTCTCTCGTTCCTCTCATTCCATCTCGCCCATGCCCACTTCAGGACAAGAAACCCTCCAAGTGCATATACCTGAATAATAATTTTAAAGAATATTTTATTATTCTAGCCGAATCAAATCAACCATGAAGAATTCAAATTCTTGCAGGCTTTGAACACCATCAGAAACAAAATTATTTCATGCTACTCAATTATCAACCCTGAATAGTGAGGATACAAGAATAATGTACAAAACAACAAAAAGCGAGTAAAGCGAAGAGTGACAAGTGGGCAGCTAACTTCTCCGTGAAAGAGAGAAACAGCCAGCTAACTTTTAAAGGTCCTCTATAGCATTCTAATGCATAATATAGACACATGAGCAAAAAAAAAAACTGCAATCATCTTCAGCATTCAAATGTAGCACCACTGCAACTGAATGAAACCAATAAAAACGCTGTAAAAACTATAGCAACTTTTACAAATCGAGAAATCAACTGTTTTTACTTCTTACATCAAGACTAACGGACAAAAATGCCTAGAGAGAAATTCAAATCTGTTTCAGAGACTTAAAAATAGAAACCAAACCAGAATAGTTTCAACTAAAGGGTAAGCAATAATTTGAGGTCATATTAAGATACAATCATCAACATCTGCCCATAAACAGCCATGGTCCTACCATTTTCCAATTGTTACCCCCTTATAAAGAACATTACTCTGCTCAACAAAAGCTCCTAAATTGAAAGCTAATCATATCGCAATTCCATCTAAGAAAGTCGACTAAAACACACATCTAATCAAAGTACCTGCCAAATGACGAGGGAGTTGGAAGTCTTGCTGGAGCTGACCTCGGATTCATACTTGAGTGGCTCTGCGTTATTGGGCGGATTGTAAGGGAAAGAGACAGACTCGTAGGTCGAGTTCTGAGGTTCCTTCTTGTCTCCAGTGGGTTTGGGACCATCAGGAGGAGAAGGCTTAGGTTTGAGAAAAGGGAATAAGTTGGTGACGAAAGAAGGTAACTTCAGGGGAGGAGAATCGGAGCCATGAGTAGGATGCTCGGATTCAGCCATTGTCCACCGCTTAGGGTTTTTTGAATCGGCGGATTAGGAATACCAATTGTCTGGTGGTCACTCCTCTGCACTTCTTCTTCTTCGTATACGACACGTGTCTCTTCATGTTTTGTCTGTAATAAAACCCCCAATGGGCCGACCGCTGATACATTCGTAGACGTGTTGGCCCACGAACTGGCCCATAGTTATATTTTTTGAATCATCCAAATCAATTCTCTTCTTGCTCCTCCACAATCTGAGCCAGATTCTGAGAAATTCATATTAACCAAATTAGCATCCTGAGGGCAAATCAAGGTCGAACAGAGAAAAGTTGGCGACTTTTTGGGTTATCATGTATCATCCGACGAGGGGCGGTGTCCGTGGTGGTCGAGATCGTAAGTTTCATTAAAATTTGCTTATATTACAAGATCCCACAAAATTTCTCAATTTTTAGGGTTTCCATGTATCATCCAACTTAAATTGATCGTCCTTGCATTTTTTCTTCTTTTGATTTTGGTTTCGAGGGTTTTTTATGAACGATCTAGGGTTTGATGATGTAGATTGGGTATACGCATTTGTTAGAGAAGCTCAATTTGATAAGAAGGGTTGCCATAGTTTAAGTGAATCGGTTAATTTCCCTCCGTTTTTGGCGATTTGTTTTCATATCAAGATGTAGAACATTAGCTGCTTTTAATGATTGTGCATGATGAAGACTGTATCACTAATTAAAATTTGTTCATAAATGTGCAGAATTTAGTTGGGATGAAGTGAAGGCTGATAAATATAGGGAGAACTATTTGGGTCACAGCATCAAGGCGCCTGTTGGAAGATGGCAAAAAGGTTCTTTTCTTATTCCTCCTTTTCTGTTTCTTGAAATTTGATGAAGTTGATGCTATGGCTCTCCTATGATACTGTGGTTGTGAGTGAACCAGTCATCTTGACATTATACTTGATCTTCCTTTTGGGATTTACTGGAAACTAGTCTTGTGAACTGGAATCTTATTGGATAACTTGCTCTGTTGTTTCTGGTATTATTAGCTCCATGATTGGTTGATATATAACCATGTGAATGAAAGAAACATATTCACGTAGCTCTAACACATAGTCAAAGTCCCTGATTTTGTTATCATCTAATTACTAGTTCGATGCCTATTTTAGTTATGAAAAATTGCTGCAGTGTGTAATCGGTGGAATGTAAGGTATCTCAACTTCATGAAGTCAAATGTTGTATGTGTTGTGACTAATATACCATCCTTAGTTCAAAGCTCAGATTTTCTTTTCGATTCGCTGTTTGTTCTAATGTAGCTTCTATAGTCATAAATTCATAATTGAACTCACCCATTTTTTCTGCTTTGTTTTTTTTTCTTTATAATCACTTTGCATTCAGAAAAATTTGGTTTGCTTCCTGGCTCTGTACAATCTCACTGTGGTTCGGGCATATTGCTTCGTGGTTTTCTTTATTTGATTTTTGTAGATTAATCTTCAATGTAGAACTTTGGACTGACATTCCATTCCTCGGCGGATAAAAATTGAATAGGTAAGGATCTTCACTGGTATGCTAGAGACAAAAAAGGAGGAGGTTCCAACACGGATGCTATGAGAGAGGAGATTCAAAGAGTTAAGGAACAGGAGGAGCAAGCCATGAGGGAGGCTCTGGGTTTGGCACCAAAGTCCTCTACAAGACCACAAGGCAATCGCCTTGACAAGCAAGAGTTTACTGAACTTGTGAAGAGGGGTTCAACAGCAGAGGACTTGGGTGCCGGGAATGCTGATGCAGTGTGGGTTCACGGCCTTGGCTATGCAAAGTGAGTTCTATTATTTCTGTGAGATTATCTCTGCTTTATAACTCTGTTGATGTTTTTGGTGGCTTTACGCTTTACTGGTAGTTTATCTTCATCCTTCTTCTCACATTTCTTTCTGCAACTCTGTACAGGGCACCCCGACCTTGGGAAGATCCCAGCACCCTTGGATCCTCTCAGACAGAAGACGCAGGGCCAGCACGTCTGCCAGAAGACACATCAGTGATCAAAACTGTTGAAGATGGACCGCATGATACTGAGAGGGACCAAAAGAAGGATAGGCATGAGGAAAGGAAACCTGCAAAGAGAGAGAAGGAAGAGAAACATGAAAGGCGCGAAAAACGTGAGAGGCAGGAAAAGCGTCGCAGTCGTGATACAGATGATAGAAAGAGACACAAGAAAGAGAAGAAGGATAAGAAGAGGAGGCATGACTCTGATTCTGATTGAAGTGAATTGTACTAGGATGGATATTTTGCAAGAGTTGAATCTGTTGCTCATTTCACTATCAAATCATGTAGTTAAGATGACTATCAATTTGTGAAGTGTTGTTGAATATCGATGGGAATCATTCAGAGAACTTAACTAAGGTTTGTTAAACACATGGATAATGTTATCTGATGGTTTTTAACAAAAATACACGTTCTAGCTTATCACTGTTACTGAAACACCAGTTTCACTATGTCACCAAAAGCTTTCGAAAAAAAGGGGCGTTAAATTGCCTCGGAGAAACGTAAATCGGCAGGGCCTGGTCCCAATATTCCTTTCTGTTCACTAATCTTCCCTAGTCCTTTTGATGAATCTTCCGCAGGGGCAATTGTCTCAGTGTTCCCCGATAATTCTCTCTGCAAAATCGTGAAGAACGATTTAAGAAATGGACCAACTACAGTACATAATATCCGGACAGGGAGTTGGAGACTGAAGCAACTGTTGTGTCATAAACTAAAGCATAGATCTTCGAACTACACAGTCTTTAGTACTAAAGCCATAACCAGACTCTTTTTCTCAAGTAAACAGGAAGTTCAGGCTTCAGAGTAGTTATACTTGTATATAAACAGAGATGACAAGATAAAGGCACTTGCCTCATCATGAATATTGGAACAATCAAAAGGTATTGGGGTCGTTAGAGGAGGTTCGAGATCTGGGTCGGGCTTCTGAAATATGAATGTTGCATAGAGCCCTGCGCAAAAGAAGGATAATTAAGTGACTAGAAAAGTATCAAAACTGGAGATTAGATAAGATAAGAGAAGATAAGATGGCAGAAGATGATAAATAATGTTACCTAACAAATCAAATGCCCGTGGAAGAAGTTTTCCCCTGGGGTCAACGAAATTAGGGCCAGCATTCATCAGCAAGGTTGCAAATTGGGCTCTGAAAGTAACAGTTGAACAGCATCAGCAGAAAGAAGCAAAGCTCGTGATATGAGATTGAAAATCTGTAAGCATAGTAAGACTTTCAAACCTGTTGTCATCGTAAAAATCTGTTAAATTTTGAATCTCCACATATTCAAGGCCAGCCTCCCTCGCTAACCTGAATAGCAAATACAAAGAAAAAAAGTAGAAGACCGAGAATCAGAAGATATAAACAGATTGGACGTCACATGTAGCTAAGCTACAAGAAGTATCACAACTAGGATTGTAATGGGAATATTGTTTTCCACAAAAGTTTAAGAAGAACTACAATCCGCAAGGTCAACAAGTGCACAATATTAATATTGTAATGCCATACCATCAAATTAATGTTAGATTTGCTGAACAAAAAGGTGAGATAATGGTGCATGAGAAGCCACCTGATCAAGCTTGGGAAGTGAACCAAGCAATGGTCTTCAGAAGCGTTGTCACCAGAAAATTTCAGCTGGTACCTCTTCCCAAACAGCGGAAACCTGAGTAGAAAATACCAAACATTTTCTAATTTCAGAAGAAAAAAAAAGAGATTTTGATGGCAAAATGACTTCTTTTTTTTGTTATCAGAAAAAACGCTCACTTTTCTTCCTCCAATTCGAAAGTGATCATGTAACTTTCAGACCGAATGTAGTTGGGAAAAACATTAGGCTTTGTCCCTCCGCTCCTATTGTGGTATGCTTCAACATTTTTCTGGTACTTTGCCCTGTTTGACCAGAATGTTAAGGAGCGCAGTCCAACTGAACAAAATAATATATAGGCAGTCAAATGTTGAAATTGATGAAATGAAAATCTTAGCATCACAATTTACAGGAGACATTAGGACAACCAAAAATTACATACACTGGAGCTATCTAAAACAGTTTCGTGAAATTCAAGTACTCAGAAACCAAGACCCTTGCAATCAGTTCAGATAATTTCAAATGTAAAATTTCATTCTAAACATCATTTGATATTACACACAACAAACTTGGTGTCAGGTAATTTGTGATAACTTTCATACACCAGTAGGCAGAGAAAAAAACCAATTTTAGCACCAGAACATGGAAAATGTATATGGGAATTGCAACAAAATCAGAGCATGTTAAAATAATAAATCAGAATTCTGATGTAACATTATTTCATACCATATCGTTGACGAGTCAGGAGTAATTCCAAAAAAGTAACCCCCGGGTTTCAGTAAACATGCTACATTACTTAGGAGTCTTCTCGCACTCTCCTCAGTTTCAAAGCATAGCTAGAGCAAGAATATTTTAGACCATCACATCCAAGCGCATTGGAAATAAAATAAAGGAGCAGAGAAAACAAAAGAAGAGATCTGAAACCTGTAGATGGCGCCAACAAGAAACTAAATCAGCCTGCCCCACGTTCTTCTGTAACTGGATTTCAAGATCATCCTGTTTCACCAACGAAGCACAAACTAAGGTAAATGTGCTCCAGGTTACTTATAGAGTAGCTTAGTATCAGATGCTAAGCTGATGCAAAACAAAGCAGGCCTCACCTTGGAAGGATCAGCTCCAAAGAATTCAACATCGTAATTCTTCCTCTGACTCTCCCAAGCTTCTCGTACGCAAGAAATCCCAGAAGACGATGTATCTAACGTTATAGCAAATTTCCACAAAAAGAGAAGAAAAAAAAAAAGCAAACCCATCCTCTTAGTGATACAATACAGTATGTAAGACTGATTATATAAGTAAATTTTGGTAATACCAATTCCGATGTAGTGACCAATCGGAGCAGCTTCCCACTTGTCGATATCGGGAGCTTCGCCGCAGTACAGCTCGCAAACCTACAAGAAAGCCGCAGAGAGACATAAAGGATGAAACTTTGTAACGGACTTGTATTTGAGAGGAAGATGGATTAATGCATACAGTGGTATAAGGATGTGCGAAGATGTTGATTATGGCCGTTTTGGCGAAATCGAAGAGCCGATGATGACTCTGCTCCGATTTTGATCCCGGGAAGCCGCTGCTCATTTTTCGTTTTCTTTTTGCTCTCCGGCCGAATTTTTCAAAATTACATATTTGGCAACCAATTTATAATTTTTGTCTTTTATTGTCCCAATAGATATGTATATACATTTCTTCTATGTATTGTAATTTCTTTTTCAGTTTTTGGTTCCACATACTACATCAGACCGTGAAACATTTCTATAAATCGAATTACAACTACTTAAGATTCAACTACAAGTCTACAACATCCAAAAATCTCTGAATTGTCGGCTCTTTTGAAACTCCAAATCCACATTATGTCAGTTGCCAATATTATACGAAAATTTGGAATCTAAGTCCTGAATCTTGGATACAAAATTTGTAATCTCTTGACTAATGGCTTGGCCGATGATTTATAATGGTTTCTTAAAGCTCTAAAACAAGATTTTACAAATGACAATAACCTCATTTTTAAACCCATCGGGGCAAATGACGTGTTTTTTTAGCTCATCACCTGTTGTGTTATTGACAGCTGAAATTATTTATTTGACAGAGGATTGAGCAAACAAAAATACCTCAGGAAGTTCCCAATCTATGAGAGAAGAATTGTATACGAAAACCAAATTTCTGTAAAAGGAACCATATGGAAAAAAAAAATGAAACATGTGATCAGAGCTTTATCCTGTAGACCAGCACTTCTGGTTCTGGATGTGAACGTGGGTTCCAAGGTTTATTATGTAGTAATCCAAGATTCATTTGATCTACAGTTGAATCTTTCTCACAGAAGAAGTCTTCGAACATCCTCAAAGTTTGAACGCAATGCAGACAGAAACGAAGCTGAGACAAAATCGGTTTCCAAGTATGCAATGAGTAAAAAAAGAGAAACGCAGAAAATGATGGCAACAGAAAAACTACTGAATGGTGCATTACCTCCAACTTGTCCATCAAAGATCCGATGATCAGCAGATAGCGTTACATTCATCTTCGTTACCACTGTAGGCTTCTCAGTTCCTGAAACATTGACATACAAAATTGTCGTAAGTCCTCATCAAAATAGCAACTCAAAGTTGAAAACCCAAAAGGATGTTACTGTCTCACCATCTATTCCAAGAATTGCCTCAACAACTTTATTTCCTCTACCAACTGCTAGTATTCCAGCCTGCAAGACAATTGACGCTCTTTAGTTATTTATCCAAAAACACATCTGCATCTCTGTAAAAGACTAAACTAGATCTTCCACGACAATATTCACAAATAAACAAAAGCTAACTCTTCAATCTGCAATTAAGGATGCATCGTTAAGGGTATGATTACCTGAGGGGGGTTAATGATGGCGCAGAATTGGTCCACAGGATACATTCCGAGATTTGAAATGCTGTAAAACAATAAAGAATGGTTGATTCAGTAAGTAGGGCAAGTTTCACATATTTCCAGACGATGCTTAAGAACTTAAAATGATGAATACCTGAATGTCCCTCCTTGAAACTCATGAGGAGCAAGCTTTCCAGATCGCGCCTTTTGTGCCAGCTCCTTCACCTGCTCCAAAAATCAATTAGAAATCACTTTTATAACTAGTGATAAGCAGCACATGACATAAGAACTGATAAAACAAGTGTACTCCTCTAAAGCCTGGCATATTCCTCAAAATTACCTCTAAGGAAATAGCAGAAATAGATTTCTGGTCTGCATTCCTGATAATTGGAGTCATTAAGCCCTGCAGCGCATGCCAAGATGATGAGGGATAAACTATTCAAGTAATCAGAAAATCCAACAAAAGAGTGTACCTTTTCAGTTGCAACTGCAATTGATATGTCAACATCCTCACACATTACAATTTCTCCTTTGTCAGCATCCCAGAAAGCTGCCAGACATTGAGAGAAAGCACTTTCAACAACCAAAAAGAAAATTTAAGCAAGCCCAAGAAGAGATACCAACCACATGATTGCAATCCATATATCATTACATCAAACTCAAAATGAATAATATTCTACTTCTAACAACTAAAAGCGATTTTAAATTCATACTGGTCCGACTAACTCAAAACATCTTTACTAAATATCCTCGGCGGAGGCAAATGGCATTTCAATTATTATTCCAACATGGATGCTGCATTGTTTTAAAAAGGACGAACTAAGGTTTTAATCTGCTCGTCAATCAGATTGGGAATGAACATGGTTTAGTTACTTGTAATAGCATCATTTACGAGGAGAATATAATTTCTCACCATTAGCCTGTCGTACATTCCTCAGCGCGACTGCCACTGCTTTAATAACTATGTCATTGACCGACACTTTCACACCATGGTTTTCTGTAGATCATGAAACCACAGTTCAATTTGAGCCTCTCAAATTGTCACAAATGCAAAGAAGAGGGATAAGGAGCAGTCGACAACCTTGAAGTTCTTTTCTAAATGCAAGAAGAGGATCCAACACAACATCTGCAGGCACACTCAAATGCTTAGACAGCAATCAAAATACACAAACAAAATACAAAGTATGTGAATTACCAACCTGATGATAAATACAAATGAGGTATCTTCTGTTTTGATTCCAATAAACGTTTAGCTATAATCTGCAAGAGGGAAAAGTCAAAGAGAAGCCAAATATGATCCTAGTAGCAAACTTCAATGGTGAAAGTGATGGAACATTTTCCAGTTTCCGGATCAAAAGCAAAAGACTTGAAACAAGCTTTTTGATGACAGCTTCTGAACAAGCCAGCATGTTGTATAATGAAGTCAAATCGACTTCATAAACTTGTTCTCATAGGATGGAATGCTTCAACAGGAAATAGTTCATTATTCTCAACATAGAGAGCAGTAAATGTTAATTACCTTTCGAATTTGACTATTTGGAAAATCTTCATAATTATCAGACTGTGTCACAGAAGACTTTGATTCAGGCAACGATATGGAAGAGGATTTAGACAAATTATCCTTTGATGGCTGTTTCTTCTCCGTAGACACAGATTTTTTAGACGTTTTTCCAGACGCAATTGCGGAAACAACGTCTGATTTCAGTAATGTACCGTAGGGACCCGAGGCCTCAATTGATGATGCCTCCAATCCATGTTCTAAAATCAAATGCTTAGCTGCAGGACTGATCTTTGTAAAGCCTGCCTTCCTCCCTCCAGATTTCTCTACAACACTGTGAGGGGCTTGTTTTTCAGTCTCAACCTCAGAACCACCTGTGGAAGAAGACTTGATGGCTTCAATACTTTCAGCATCTTCAACCTACACAGAAGAAGTATTAGCCTCTAATATCCCATAACCTGTAAGCAATTGTATTTTCAAAGATTTTGTGTGCAGGAGTAACTTTTACTTCAGTCAATACATAACGTAGCATGGAACTAGAAGAGCGCCTCCCAATTTATGCACACAAAATGGCTAGTAACCAGTTGGATAATATACCAGTAGTAAAACAGTTTTCTGGCATCAAGAGTTCACTCAACGTACTTTTAAATTAAAAGACTTACTATAAGTGCAATCGGCTTTCCGACAGCCACATCCTTGGAACCTTCAGGAATTAGAATCTTAGCCAAGTACCTACACCAAAATTCAACCATCAAGTTATACAATCTATTGATATAAGATCCGTAGTCAGAATACGCATGCAGCAGTTCAACAAAATTTGACCTAACTTTTGCAATCAACATTTTCTTCTCACTTATAAAAAAAAGAAGATAAATGTCCACAGAGTATGAATGCTATATAGAATGAACATCACTAGGCTGCCTAGAAAAATAAATATTGTGTATGTCCCAAGTGATTGCTTATAGGAATAAGGCAACAAGGTTTTTAGTATACCCCTCTTCAAGGCTTTCAAATTCCAGAGTGGCTTTGTCAGTCTCGATCTCACCTATGACATCACCCACTTCAATCTGTGACCAGGAAATGAGAAGATTCAATACAGTCAGTCAGTCAAGTGCATAACACCCGACTCCTTGTGGTGAAATTGCACTGCCAATTTACTCTTCAGATTTGGGTCACCAGAAACTAACCTTGTCACCCTCTTTTTTCCACCATTTGGCAATGTTACCTTGGTTCTTAACATCAATAAAAAATAAATGATTTAGGGTCTCAGGATGGAAAAGGTGGAGGCATTATCACCCAAAACAAGCTAGCACTAAATATGAAATTTCATACCATTGTGGGAGAAAGTGCTGGCATTTCTAAGACAACATGTGGGGGAAGATCTGATGCATCAGGCTGAATGGAACCTCTTTGTTGTGTGCTTTCTTCAGGTTTCATCTCTTTATGAGCTGATGTTTCATCTTTACCAACTCGTCCACCCTCTACAGGAACAGAAACGTTTTGAATGTCGTCTTCCTCGTCAACCTTGATTACAATTAAATAAGATAAGATTAAATCTTTACTCATAAAAATCTATGTAGTAAGATGCTGACCAAAAACACGAAATATCATATAGGGGATAATGAGATGAGAACTCAGTATGACATAAGGTAATATTTCGAAGAAGAAACAGTACGAAGATAGGATCTTGGTCGTATTTTCCCACAATAAATATTGATAAAGCAACACCAAAGATCTATATGATGTAAACCCAGGAAAAAAATGAAAAATGAAGAGGCCAAGAGCAGGCTAGTTAAAGAAAAAGGAACTTCTAATGAGCATAGGTAATGCCTGCATCACATGTTGCGAGATCACACTTGGTTTCCTTAGATAAATAAGACAACCATTCTGCTTACCATTATTGCAATCGGTGCATTAATAGGAATATCCTTTGATCCTTCAGTTACTAAAATCTTGGCCAGAAATCTACAGAACCATGCTTCATTGTAAGCCAATTGAGATTTGCATATGCTTATAATTAGGCAGATATTTGAAAATACCAAGGTGTGGAATAGAAAAACACAAATTAACACACACGAAATCATGAACCGGCTTTTCAGAATTACCCTTCCTCTTGACTCTCAAGTTCTACAGTGGCTTTGTCTGTCTCTATCTCACATAGTACATCCCCCACCTCTACCTGTCACGAAGAACGAAAATTCAAACCACTTACTCAGAAATTCCACATTCCAGATGTTCTTTGTCAGCTAAATCATCAG